TGTCATTGTTCAAATGATAATAAACAAACATATAAAGCATATTTGTCCACTCATATGTTGATAAGAGTATTAAAAACTTGAAAGATATCCCTCTAAGGTACATTTAGAACAGATAAAAAATGTGCGATTAATTTGCGATTAATCGCGATTAACTATGGACAATCATGCGATTAATCGCGATTAAATATTTTAATCGACTGACAGCCCTAACACAAACACTAGATGTGTTTCCCCCCCTTATGTGCCCATCCCCCCCATGTGAATCACACCTGGCACACACAAACACACAGAACAATTTGATACATTTCCCGCTCTTATGTGCCCATCACACCTGGCACACGCAATACATGTTCAGTGTCTATTCTTTGTATATTTACTGCAGTTTTTCATGTATACCAGTAGTCTGATACAATATTTACAGTTTGAAAGGATGTTAAATGAAATTTGGTGATGATTAATGGTTATAACAGGACCAGTCAAATTTGACCACGAATACCAAAGTAAGGGGGGGGGGGAAAACGAACACAACAGGAGGGTTAAGTTACAGGGTTGCCAACTCTCACGCATCTGGCGTGTGACACACGCTTTCACTCTCAATCTCACGCTCTCACGCTACCCAAACTATTCTCACGCCAAAAACAAGAATACGAAGACTAGAAACGGTTTTGAAAACTTTTGTCACGTAGTGATCGTCTTCTCAATAGAACATCTTTGATAATGTCTTCTGGCCAATCAGAATCACGATAACGGCGTGGTGTTGTTGCAGGAAGTCCCGACGGAGAATACTTTTGTGGTAGTACATCTCTATACATCGATACAACATTACGTGTTGATAGAAATCAACACGTAATGAAATAAGACCCCACGGTTTGATGATTGATAGGTGTGTGGGCTGTCTTTCATTTTGACACACAGAACAATGGGGGCTATCCACCCATATCCACAATGTAAAGTAATTCACACAGCCTCTTCCCTCTTCTCTCTGTGAGGAGCAGCAGGTTCAGCTTTCAGAACAAAGTAACAAAAAAATAATATGGCATTCATTTTTTAAATGTGTAGTAATAGATTTATTTATTTTTCTTCTCAAGAGAGTACCAGAATGTTTATTTTATGTTAGGATTTTAAAAAATCTCCTGGGGGAGAATCCCCCCAGACCCCCCTGCAGGGGTTGGGTTTTCAGCATGTCAACTCTTTCACCTGTTGCAGGATTGGCTCCAGGTCGCCCTTTTTATTTACTACAAGACAAATGTGCCTTTTTATTTCATACAGTTCAATTTGGATTGAGACAGGGAAATAATCTAAACCTCACGCATGGCGTTTCACTGTCGGGGGGAGCGTGTATGTAATTACATTGCAAATACTGATTTAAGCCCCACCACTGTATGGGTTAGCCCTACCATAGATTACCCAACAAAAATACTCTGGAGCGCATGCGCAGATCTAAGATCCAGTAGAAATGATAAAAAAGTAAAAGTCTGCTGCTTATTGTTCTACTAGGCCAACATAGAGTCAAAGAGTACAGTATATGAGAGTGAGAGTGTGTTAATTAATATATTTGGCAGTTTGGAGTAAGTCTGTAGATTTGTTTGTGTGTGTGTGTTTCATGTATAGGCCTCTCACGATAATTAATTTTGTTGGATACATTTTCCCGGAAATTATTGCGATAAACGATAATATTGTCGGCACCGTTGTATGACCATTTTAGACCACTGACATAATGATAATATATAATAATAATTCAAGTACATCCTTTCAAACTGCTAGTCACATCCTCATGTAAATGGAAATTTATCGAGGTCAGAAAAGTTATCGAGTTCATTTTTATTTATCGTACGATAAGTCAATTAATTGCTTATCGCGACAGGCACACAATACAACAGTGGAAACAAACATGTTTGACTTTCATTAGTGAATGAAACTGTGTGCCCTTTATAGTCTGTGTCCATTATTGTGTATTTGTATATATTGTATATATATCCTATATATATGCTAAGGTCCCGCTGCTGACACGATAGCAGTCATGTCGTGCGCATATGTGTAATTAAACCGAATTAAACCCATGATATCACAATCTCACTCCAGCCAGGTACCCAAAGTTGGCAACCCTGGGGTTAAGTACAGCTTTCAGATAGTTGTAATTTGAGTGTTTCCATTTTAAGCTTCTTTATACTTTATCTCAGAGGCAAATATGTTTACTTCACTACAGTTATGTTAAAACTAAGGTACTAGTCACTATCCAGATTTATAATGATTACTGCCTATAGTCAACTAGATTTTATGTTTTAATTTTATAACAGAATATCTACTTATATTATAATTAATTCAATAAAATCATATACGATATTCAGAAATAGGAAATTCTGTATTGAGTACTTCTTGGATGTACCTATGCTTTTAGACCAAGTGCTGCTTTACCGTTAGTAAAAAAAAAAGGAAGGCTTCTTTAGCAACACAGCCTATCATTATTTAGTGGGAATGCTGATACAGCATTCCAACTATATGTTATGCGACGGACAAAATTCTTATTATTAATCCATCCGATTATTTTGTCCGTCTTCTCCTCCCACATTCAACATCGCAGAAACTCCGTTCAAACATCAAAACGTTCAACTCGGTCGGGAATCGATGGCTATTACTTTTATCATTCATAACTTTCATAATTCCAGATACATCCCATAATACATCCCATTTTTAACCATTGAAGTCAATGGAGACATTCTTCAGACTTCAACAAATCTTCATGCGACTTCAACTGCTAACTGTTCATTCATACTTTCACTCAGAAACCTCATTCCAACTTTAAAATGTTACACATCTTTCTGACATTATTCGTGTAACACAACTTTTAAATCTGATTCTTACTTTTAGAGATATTAAACATTGTTCAGACCTTGGTAAAGAGGATTTCTTCAGATTTTAACATTAACTAGAGTGCGTGATGTCACAGCTAGAGTGGAGGAAATCTTGAAATGTGCCTTCATATATTCTTTTAAAACTGCCATAATTCCCAAACCCTACATTCCTGAGACATCATTTTTCATGACAAACGTAGGAAAACATCTCGTAGCTTGAAAAATGACAAATAATTAAGCAACATAATTAAACAAAATGCCTCTTGAGGGCATGAAGTGACAAAAACTTTCAACATGCCTCCATTAAAGCCCATTGTAATTTCAGGCTGATGTTTCCTCACGGTAGCAGCCAAAAAGGCCACATTATTAACCCCAAAGTACACAAAAATTACACTTCCTTGACATGCTTCACGATTTGAAATTTCACAGATATCTGTTACGGTTCTTCGACAAAACGTTCACATGTAAGAGGTTTATCTCTCATTCAGAACAATGGAAACCTTTGATCTCTGCACACCTCGTTAGCTCAAATATAAACTGATGTCATAACACACAGGTGTTCGTGTTTGAGCTAACGACGTGGTCACTGGAGTTTAACAGACTGTCTGAGCCTATTCTTTTCTGTCTGATGGAGACTTCATACTGACTTCAACATGTTCCACCTATTTTATACATTATTGGTGACACACAGCTGTCGTCGTTAGCTCAAATATAAACACCTGTGTCATGGAACACGATGATGTCACATTGACAGGTTTGGTAACGATGCAGCCATCAACGCATCTAAGCGTATTATGGGGTGTCATCCAATGCCGTTGCCATGGCGACAGACCACTCGCCATGAAGCACGATGTCGCTGTAAGTCCAATGGACAGGGTCCGATCGTCCCTCAAACTTCGCTTGTATATCACCGGTCCAGCCCTCAACAGCTCTACGTCAATTATGGGGTTTCTTCAAATGTTGTTGCCATGGCAACACAATGCTCGCCATGAAACACGGTTTTCTCATAACTTCAGTGAAAATGCTCCAAAACTTCACAGGTTTGGTAACGATGCAGCCATCAACACATCTAAGCGTATTATGGGGTGTCATCAAATGCCGTTGCCATGGCAACAGATCATTCACCATCAAGTTAGTTCAAATATTCTGCTGCTTTTCCAAGCCTTTTTACTTTCTTTTCTTCACTCATCACACATTCAAGCCCCCAGTGTTCATGTATCATTTCAATCTAAATTCTTCATTTTCTTCTTACACATTACATTTCAGCATAGCAGTTTAGCGTCAGCTTTTCAGCATAAAGCATTCCCACTAGCAATTTCTTCAGGAATTGCATTCTCTAGTTGGTGTATGATATTCCTGTTTGGTGGTAGTTATGTTGCCCTTCTCATGTGTTTTCAAACTCAGAATTATCATAGACCTGGATTTACGGATGAGGGTTGCAATAAAAAAAAGGAGTAACTGAGTCAAAGTAAATAAAAAAAAAATGAAAAACAATCCTTTCACTAAATGCCTCATCTCATGGTCGTACTGCTACCAATTTAAGGACCATCATACCTTCTAAAATAAAATCACTTTACAATAAATTGATAAAGTAGCATGTGAAACCAGTAATTGCACAGGATGGGCATTCTCAAAGACACAGATGTTTCTCTTCTGTGCCTGGAAGACTTTTATTTTCAAATGACCAGCACGTCCTCAGGATTAGTCACTTGAGGGTACAGTTTTGTTGTCCATAACATTTTTTAAACGCTGCCCATGTGGTTATGGAATATAAACTGTGGCAAAAAGTGGGGAAGTTTAGTCAGACCAAGTTCATCCCGCAGCGACAAAACCCATCACACATCCAAAAGCAAAGACAGATGCGAGCACTAAGTCTGTTTATTATTCTAATTTATTAAAGATCATTATCCTCTTGTTGAGCATTTTGAATGGCTGTAAGTGGTGTTTACCACCTTGCCAAGTGTTAGATCCCAAAATGATGCAACTCTGTAATCTGGGTTTTGAATTTGAAACATAAACCAGGTAATAAGCCAATAAACTAACATAATATATACATTTTGATTATAGACCTACGATACACTTCCTGGCAAGAAAGTGGGCAGGAACATTATATTTATCCATTTCTTTGTATGAAAAAACCAAGCTGAATTATAGGGGAAAGCATTATTACAGCCTAAGAGGAATGTTGCTGTATTTCGCTCCTCAGGTGTTTAATCTGCTATTTGTTTGTACAAGGTCTAAATCAGATAAGAGTTAGTATCACTTTTAATAATAATTACATTCCCTGTGCGGATACCATGACGAATCACACAACTTAATACTGGACCTCTAATTTCTTCATGATTAAAACAAATGCACTCATGAATCATTTGGCTGATCGATGTTTCAGTGGCAGGAAATGAACCAAACGCATGGTTTTATAAAAGCACAAAAAAACAACAACTTTATTTACAAAAAACAGACCACTGCCCCCATCCCACAAACCCCTAAATTCAGTGACTACTGAGGAATGCTATGTCTGAGCCTGTGGCTGAGGTTGGGAATTTACAGGACTGAGAAGAACAACACCCAGTGCAAACCTTCGGTGTTCTTCCACCCACTTATTTAGTCTGAGTCCGGCCGACGTCTAATGCCAGAAACGTGGGTCAGACGCTGGCTTCTGTTTGGTTCCCAGTTGCAAGTAAGCAATATGCTTTAAAGAGGCCGACATGTCATCAAACAGACAGGTAGGGCGAGGGGCTAAGAAAGATTTAATGATACCCTCATGGACTATGGTATATGCATTATGGCATAATTCTAATCAATACACATAAAAAAAGACCTTACCATACAAAAACATGTTTCATTCAGCTGAGATTAAAGGACACAAACACACTGTCGTGCTGAATAACAGACAAAAAAAATGTTCTTAGATTTCAGTGACAATCCCTCTCTACACATTGTGTCCCTAACTAGACTTCTCTGCTTGGCATTTAAATAAAATGTATGCACTTACAATTATTTTGGTTGCATGTACTTGAGGTGCAGATGACAGTTGCTCCTCAGTTTCTGTTCACACATCTGTGTGTGAACAACGCTTATGACTAAGTGTGATGAGAATGTTCCCACTGCTGTTTGTCTGAATCAAGGTAATTTAACAGTCTAGCAATGCAAGAGGGCTGAACTGGCCCGAGACTTCCTGCCATGTTTCCAGGTAATGACGGCAATACTGAAAGTTTGCACACTCATAGTTTTAATTGCGGGTGTTTGCGTTGCAAGGGTGAGCTGTGTGTGACTTGCAATGTACGGGAATCAAAACCATGTGACGTCTTGCAGTTTGTTTCTGCGTAATAAGGTGTGTGTCTGCCCACATATAACAATTCATCAATTTGTTTCCTGAACCTGGGCACAGTGTGTGTGTGTGTGTGTGTGTGTGTGTGTGTGTGTGTGTGTGTGTGTGTGTGTGTGTGTGTGTGTGTGTGTCCAGCCCTGCTGCATGAGGGTGTACGATTAGAAGGCGTAGCGAGTACGAATGTCCTCCAGTTTCTTAGACACCTCGGGCGGTGTTCTGTCCAGCTCCTCCGCCACACTTTTCTGCTTGTGAGGATCCATGCTGTTAAACTGCTCACACAGATCTCCGTCAATCACATTCTGGCGGGAATAAAAGACAGACAAAAATAAAAGACTCGGGACATAAAAGTTTATAAATCTGAAACATCTGAAGGATGAGATCTCGTAAAACATAACCAACCTTGACTGGGAAGTAATAGGATCTGAAGCTGAGGTGGTCTCTGCCGCAGAGTGGGGGGAACTCAGAGCGCATGTGCATCTCTAAATGCTGGAAGAAGTCATGGTCCTGGACAAAGAAACAAAGGAGGGAGGGAAACGTGAGGAAAATAAATTAAGAGACTCAAATAAAAACCCAACAAGGCAAAAATAAGTGATAATATTTGTAGATAGATACTATATTAAATCACAAATTGGGACATCATTTTGTCACAGCAGCATTTTCACAGTCTTAAAAATGTATTCACAATAGGAGATTGTGTACACTAGCTTGAAATTAAAAGTTAAATATATCATGTGAGGAATTGTGAGTAGGCTGCAATATGTATATGCATCATATGCAAATTGTCCATGATTATAGAAAAGGAATAAGACAGATTTCTTGTTGTGTATTTCTAGGCGTTGATGTTATACCTCATGTGACGTGAACGGGACCAGAATGCCGATGCCTCCGGACAGCGTGGTGTAGACCATGGACTCGGAGCCTCCGGGGATCAGAGTGGTTTTCTGGATGGATAACACTGTCTCTCCTACGTGGTAGTTCATAATCACCTCAGCCTGGAGAGACAAGAATGTCAGATTATGATCCTTCAGCCTGAGACATGAACAGATAGGACAATAACAGCGACACAGACGGCCATCCTTCTCTTTCGGACCCCTTGTATATCTTAATGGTACTCGGAACAAAACTGTTTAATTCCGGCAACATTCCAGAGTTAGACCTAACACACTTAGCTATTTGATCTACCTCTGGAACAAGCTAAACTAGTTATAAATATATGTTTATTCTTCACTGTCGGGTCACTCATTACTGGATCAGTGAGCTGCATGAGACGATACTGACAGGCTGTCAGGAGAGAGAGAGAGGGGGAGAGAGGAAGAGAGAGCGCTTCCGCTCATTTCTCCCGTGTTATTATCCAAAGTTAATGTAAACTTAAATAATGTACTTCATTTGAATGTAATAATTATGTTGGTTGTTGTTTGTGGAAGCGCATCATTTATTGAAAAATTAATCTGAACTTTTCGATCCGTTACGATTATAAACTGAAGCAATATAAAAATGAGTCCCATTAACTGAGTTTTAAACATCACTTTAAATGGAAGATCCCCATAGCCCCCACCCACCCGATCGGTATCGGCCGATACTGATTCCGGCGATCGGCCCCAAAATTCCCGATCGGAGCATCCCTAGTCTTATTGACATGAATATATCTGGCTTTTAATTTAAAAATACACACAGCTTTTACAATTAGCTTGGTGGCATAGAAAGACTAGAACGATGGTTCAATGACCTCTTAACTTCCTGTCAGTGACTACATTTGTCCATCCAGCCTAATGGAAAATAACTAGGGGGTTAGTTTAGACATGACAAATCAAGAAGACACGCAGTCACCCTGTGCTTGGAGGAAATTGGTCCGGATGGTCAGATGTAATCCAATAACCATCAAAAAACCACTTTGCCCATAATTAGAGGTAATAATCAGCAAGTACAGTGGATACAAAGGCAGCATTTGGGAGCAATAAAACCTCAGTATTAGTCTGAGCCGAGTGAACACAGTACATACAGATGCCAAGAGACCAGGAAAGCACAAACGTAAGACACAGCGGAGACAGAAGTGTACAAAAACAACGTCTGTCTGAGATCTACGGCAAATCTATTAATCACTGATTTCCCTGTGGGTGTTCACTGTCTAACAAACTAAGAGTATAGAGCAATGCTAGCATCTCTGTCAGGTTATCCATTGCGCGGAGATGTCGTTGACATATTTGCCGCTGTAGGGGACTCAGGCTCACCCAGCCTACAAAGGTTAAGCAGCAGGCCTCAGACGATGTTTTTGTCTCAAGTGTTAAGGCGACCCAGGAGACTTTCAAAAACAGAATAATATCCCCCTCCTAACACTATGTGACATTTGGGGTAAAGACAGTCAGTCCTTTCATTGTGCTCAACAAACAGCTGCGTCTCCCTGACCTTGATCTTTTGAGATACATTAATCAAATCAAAGCGGAATGCATCTAATTTAATATTGAAGGATCCATGTATGGATAATTAAGTTCTTCGACCCAGATGTTACACACACACACGACTTTCGGATATGGACAAAATCCATGCTTACACACTCACGTTGAAATGCAGACACAGCACATTTTCAAACTTGAAGACATTTTCAATCAATGTGCGCAGAGGCAAAAAAAGCCGACGACGTCTGTGTCCCAAAGACAACTGGGACAAACTCACATCGTCTAAATCTGAGGGACTTTCCCAGTCCATCTGCTACCTAAACAGTTTCTGACCAGAATTTAAATATGGGATGAGTGATACTGTGTGTGTTTCTTCAATCAGTGTGAGTGTGTGTACACACTTTGTGTTTTTGAGAAGGTTAAACTTGTGGTTCACTGTGTTATGCAGTTTGTGTATGTGCGTGTGTGTTGAGCTTCTGTGTGTCGGCGGTTAGAGGTCAGAACAGTGGAGGAGGCAGATTCTGCCTGAAATGTATAAACTTGTGCGGCTGGGGTTTAACAGAAATTCAAAGCCTGAAGCCACAGTTTCAAAATTAAGACTCACTTTTTGCCCTCTGTAAATTCCTGCCTTACACATAAATGCTGAGGAATTAGCAGGTCAAACACTCTTTCATCACTGTATCCTCACACATGTTTAACTGCCTGCAGACCGCCTACTACTGTACACACTGACAATGGAAAGTTACCTCGTTCAACCCAACGTATACAAATCCAAACCGTCCCTTTAAGGTGGACTTGTTCCATCAGGATTATGTCACGTTGAAGATTTCAACCACATCTGCTTGCATTACCATTGAAATAGAGAACAACAAATCCTTTATATAAATGTATAAACCCTTATTAAGGGTATGCTCCAGTTCCTAAAGTATATGATAAAGATGCTTTTCTTTTTAAACTCGACAAACAATAGAAAACACTCTGAAAGTAGATGTAACATATGTTGGTTAACATGTCAGAAGCATTGGTTTGCAGAGTTATGGATTTACCTTCTGTGATGCTCCATTAAGGAGGCCTCTGTCCCATAGAGCTTTGTTCCCAGTGGGGTCTTCATCCACATCATCGCTGGTGTTGGGCGGAAGGCGCACCTGAGAAAATGAAATGGGGAAAAAAGGATGCACTTATTTAGCTTGTCAGTCCTACTGGGCTACAGAAGTCTTTTTGTTACAATAAAACTAAAAGTTATAATGCAAATCATAAGCTGTATATTTCATAGTGTGTAAATGTCATTCCCGTTCAAAATAAGTCAGATATGCACAGACCCAGCGCTCCCCTTCCCCAAACTTACGATACTGATGTTCCCAAACTTGTCAGCGGCGGCCATGGTGTCGTAGTCGAGCAGACAGGCCGTGGTCACCCAGCGGGGATACGTGTCATCGGCGAAGATGATCAGCTGGTTCTCGTTGCGTCTGTAGCGGACCCAGAACAGGCTCTCCGAAACGTCCGTCACGATCACACGCTGGCCGATGGTGTGGATGCTGGTCACCAGGTTGGGAACGTGCTAAATTGGTGAGCAATAAAGCACACTCATTAAAGAATATTCAAAACACAAAAAATATACAAAGAAGGAAAATCTGTGTGTCTGTACACATGGTAAATTGGTAAGACATCCCTTTAAGACGTTACAATTATTGGGGAATATATTTCCCAATTTCTTTTTATTCCAAATGGGCTTTTAAAATGTATAAAAACAGCAATTAAGCACTTCTATTTGTAGCTTGGATGAGGAATGCGCTATATAAATGCAGTGCATTTAGCCATGAATAGATACATTTATTACTACCATCAGTACTCGGTGTTTATTTTTTAATCAAATTAAGTGATTAAGAAAAAAAAATTATGTTAACACTCCGTGATAAAAAATAAACGTATTGACATCAAGAGCTCAATGAAAACAGTGTGCACACGTTTGGGTTCTTGCCCTAATGCCCTACCTTGTTTTCACACTTGCGAAGCAGCTTCTTTTTTCCCAGGTCGTAGATTCTCAACAGTTTGCCCACTCCCACCAGGATGCGACCCTGGAATGGAGCAATAGCCAGAGGAACGTCCTCGACTGGTGTCTGCCAATCAAAACAAAGAATACATTAAGCAAAGCTTAATCAGATTATCAAGGCTCTGTGTAGTTGTTTATACAAACATTATAATGTAAACCACAGTCTGCTCTTTCACATTGTTTGTAGGTCCTGTCCATCAGGTCACGTTTTTGTGATCCGAGTAACAGATAAACTGCAGCATTCTTTCAAACGACACTCATCGGCCTGCATGACAACACTGTCATTCAACCACAGACGATAATGGAATCATTTCAGCAAATCTTGTTATGAGAAACCTTGCTGATGGACTCAAATCTGATATATCAAACTATTTGAGGGAAATAAATCTAAATTCTGGAATCTAACTCAAATACTGTGTTTTGTGTGGAGACCCATAAAAAGAACGGATATCATTAAACTAGGACAGTTTTTATTTTTACGGTGTGACTTTAGATTTATTTCTTAAGAATCAATAACTGCATTTTGGTAAATTATATTTCAAACAAAGTTACAGTGGTCACAAGTTAACATTCAACAGGGATGAGGTCTAGGGAGCAGAGGAGCCCGTTCAAGTCAGCAGTCGTTGCTTTTTTCTTCGGCCTTTCAACAGGCCCCTCATTACTTTGATGCATGTTTAATTGTCCTGCTGGAACATACGTCATGTCGTACAACGTAAAGCCAGAAAAGCCGGCAGGTCTGTGAAACAGGATGGAACTTCATCTCGGCCACTGATCCCTTACAACTCCCTCCCCCCAGAACGGAGGTGTTATGGGCTGCTGTGTTAACCTTCTCACATTGACTCAGATCCAACTGTGAAGGACGCATTCTTTCGGTGTGCCGGACTAAAGTTTGGATGTTTGGTACAAATGCTGGGAGTCACCTTTGAAGAGGCTTTCAAAAACTGCTATTCCATAAAGGCTGCAGTTCTAGTCGTTAAACTTTTTTTTGGCCTTTGACCAGCTCAAACTGCAATTTTTATTTTTTTTATTTTTAAACAAATATTTATTAAAGGGGCTTCATTATGCTTATTTTCAGGTTTTACATTTATTCCTTTGTCTCTACTGGGACATGTCTCCATGCTTTAATGTTCGAAAAGCTCTTTACTTTCTCAGATTGCCTGTGCTGCTGCACCTCTTTTCACCCTCTGTCTGAAACCAGAGCCCAGTCTGCTCTGATTTGTTAGATGGCTTAGCGCTCTCTCTTCCTCTCTCCCCCTCTCTCTCTCCTGACAGCCGTCAGTATCTCATGCAGCTCACTGATCCAGTAATGAGGGACCCGACAGTGAAGAATAAACATATTTATAACTAGTTTAGCTTGTTCCAGAGGTAGATAAAATAGCTAAGTGTGTTAGGTCTAACTCTTAGTGTGTGTTTTGCTCCGCTCACCAGTCCGTCACAGCGGGTGGAGCTGCAGGATTTCTGCTTCACACACACGTTGCCTACCGCTATTTTATTGTCTTTTTCGGACACCTTAAAATACTGCCAGACCGGTGAAGCCATTTTGGCGAGCTTGTTTTGCCGCGCACAGAGAAAAGTGTCATGTATTTTAAGTCATGTGATCGGCTCTCCTGATCGGCATTTATAGAGAGCACCGATCGGCATTTATAGAGAGCACCGATCGATCGGAGCATCCCTAGTTTTAACGGTGCGCGACAACCCACTTCTTCCCATGTCAGTGCTGCAGACCAAAAAACGTTCAGCTCTCAGTACTTTTGTGAGGTTTAATGCCCACTCAGCTGTATAAAGAGTTACTGCTGATGAACCTAGCATTCTCAGATTTTTGTCTTCACAATAAAATGACAGAGCAGTAGAGTAATTAATTCAAACAAAAAGAAAAAAGCTAAAGAAGTTTTGCTGTTGGCCTCTTAAATAGAATTTCATTTAAGCTCAGCCAACTCACTTTGTGCACAAACTCCAGTTTCTCCCCTCCGCTGATGAGCCGATAGGTGTAGATGAATCCCCCGCTCACTGATCTGGGGTTGAGGATCATGTCTCTGGCAACGCCCACCAGGACATACCAATCATCTCCTGTGTTGGGGAAGCGACACACTGCAACACTGGAACATATAAAACACAGGGAAAGAGGAGGTGTGAGATAAAGAATTGAACACGATGGAGAAGTAAGAACAATAAAAGATGTCCTACACAACATAAACATTTCCTTCTGTACCACTAAACATTACGATTTTGAGACTGCTACGAGGTAAGCAAAACTACAAGCCATCATGATATCCATTAAGTTACCACCGTTCAAACTAAGCATAGACAAGAAAGCAACAGAATAAATAAAATAAAACACTGCATTTGTGATTTTCGAGTTTGCTGAAAAATATTAACTGATCAGTAATGTATAAATCTAGCCAAATAAACATTAACATGTAACTTCAGAAAATGTGCCTATCAGGCTTCCTGTTGATTCCACACGCTAATAAGTAAAACATGCACATTTATGTTGCTGGAAGCTGACTCCTTTTGTGTTTACAATGTTCATACCATGTGGAGTAATTATTAACTGAACTTGTCAACATAGTTAAGACTAAGTGCTTAAAAAACTTACCAGGCAATTTTAAGTGCAAATATTTAAATTGAATCAAACTGATAAAAATGTTTAAAAAGATGGCAAAGTCTGCAATTGAATAAAACACTATTTCTGTAGCAAACATGTTTACTGTGGTCAGTGCGGAAAGGAGAGTGATCATTAACAGCCTCTTTCCTCAAAATACGGACAAACCAACTCTGTCTTTTGAGTTATGCAATCTGTCACCAGATAAAAATGAGATATTACATTTCAAAAGACTGTCTGGTCCTTTTTGGCCCCCCATAAAATGAAGAGACTGTTTGATTTAGACAGTTAGGAAGCACTCTGATGAAGGTTTATTAGATGCTGGGAGTTATGGAGCCTGACTCAATCAATGTGAAAGGCGTAATAAACAAGAGACAGTCCAGGTTCAGACTGTAGGCTTCATTACCTTACCCCCACCACACCCATACACCATTTAGGATTCAAAGCTATGATACAAAGTCATGCAAAACCTTATTTTTTCAGCCGTATGTTGGAAAGACTGTGGTTGATGTGAAACGCTGCTGTCAGGCACACAGCATAACAGCAACCACTCGTTCCCATGCTTGCTGCCCTTCAGTGGTGACCTACGACTTTTAGGGTTCATTATATGTTTTTAAAGCCTACATCTGTGACCTACCAACTCGGATTGCTGCTGGAGATCCTCCAGCGAAGCCCTACTAATCATTCCAAAATCTGGGTCAGTCATTAAAAGCTAACCAGGCTTTTTTCAGCTGTGGAGATCCCTGCCCCGAAGATCTTCGACAGACAAACTCGGCGACCTCTTTAAATATTTTCTCGAACCTTTTCATTTGGCTTCAGGCGCTTTCAAGTACTCAAGTACTTTTCCCAGGAATAGTTCCCGGAACTTTTATTTCCCCGGAACTATCTAGTTAATCGCGTTCACACCGGAATAAGTCCCTGAGGGAGGATTACGCAAATGAAGCCGCTGACGTCACTTATTCTTCTTCTTCTGCTTTGGGTTTACTGGCAGGCCGCAAACAACTTCATGGCGTATACTGCCACCCGAAGTCCCGGAGCCCCCCGGAGTCCGGGAGGCAGTAAATCACCAGAAGCGCCGACACCTCCTTATCACTCCACAGATCCCACGTTTTCTTTTGTGTTGCCATAAGTTAGTCTGTCTCCGTTGGTGCGCTGGGTTAATGCTAATGCTAATAATGCTAATGCGAGGAAATAAAATGGCGGCTTCACAAAAACGTTTCAGAGTTTTACGGGGCGTGGTTTGCAATTCGCCCAGCCAATCAGAAATTGGAACCTTTTTCTCCCATGAAAGTACCTGCTCTCTAGCAGGAACTGAAAAGGGGTGAAAATGTTCCCGAAAAAAGATCTTTTTGGTGTGAACGCAACATCCCAGGAACTATCGGAATTATTTCTGCTAAAAGTACGGGAAAAGTACTCCGGTGTGAAGGCGCCTTTTGATTAAGAGAGTGTGCGAATTGAAGCTGTTTAATTATATATTTAAGTTTATATGTCTTATTATCTTGTACGTTCAGCTTCGTTTTTGTTTTAATAGTAAAGCACTTTTTGGAGAAGTGCTATATAAATGAACAGTTTTTACGATTTATGCCGTTTTTTCACTGGCTGCTAACAGCACAGCCTTGTTGTTCCGAATGTAGCATTTTGAAGGAAACAAATAGGTTGTGATAGATCCACATTTTCAATCGTGGCGAGGACAACAGGAACCTAAAAGTCTCGAGCCCCGATGACACCTACCATACTGGAAATGTAAATACGACAAGACAAGTAATGTAACAAAATGGAGCCGCTCACCTGAACGCAGCTTCGTTCTGTTCCAGCTGCACCAGGTCCAGTGTTGTTCCCTGTATGGGGTTGATGAGCCGCACCAGTGAGGCCCACTGCCCTGCTCCGGCTTTAGGTGCACCAAAAATAGCTTCTGGGAGGTTCTCGTTGAGGAACGCAGCAGCCATCTCAGCGGCCAGTTCTCTTTCATCTTCACCAGCAGCCTCCACCATCTCCTGCAGACACAACAGCAACAAAGAACACAGACGGTCAGCTGAGGGGAAACCACTGTGTTCTGACCAAGTACAGCCAGTTATTTCCCACTGAAACCACCAGATTCCCACCATTTTGTATGAAAGAATAAGCAGCTACATGTTTGTGTCCTCTGATCCGTCAATTAATCAGCAACTATTTTTATAATCGGTAAAAGTAATTGACTATGCATAAGGACAAACAATTGCCTGTTTCAGCTTTTCAAGTGCAAGAGTTCTGCTGTTTAAAGAGCTGTGTGTGTGCGAAGCTATGAAGAGAGCAGTTGGTAGAAGTACACTGTGCGTTTAGTAAATGTGTCGGTAAACAAACTCCTAAACACCAAAGCCAAGTTCCTGTATCTCGCTTGAAAACTGATCATTTAGATTAAGGGTGTTAGCCCCGAAGCTAACAACAGCTCAGGGCTTCATCGTTTCAGAATACATGTGGGCACAGTTGGTTTAGAGTCAATAAAACTGTTCCAGAAATCTGATTTTTCTTTTCAAATTTAAATGATTAAAACACCCAAAACTAAATGTAACACACAGGTCAGTGCTTCTTCCCTGATTCTGTACACACAAAAGAGAAGAATGGTTCCAAGGTCAAACCTGAGTGCTGACCTCGACCTTTGATCTATCTTCTTAAACAGAAGATTCAGGTCTAGGTTTAACTTAAAAAAATACCAAAAAGGTGGTCTTAAAACTCAGTCTAGGAGGTCTCAGCAGTCCAAATGGTCTAGCTTACAGTGTACATCAAAAGTCTGCTGGAGACAGTAAACAATGTATCATTATTGTATGAGCCAGGTCTAAGATGATGGAGTGTGTATGTGTGTGCATCTGTCCAGAGACAATATATCATACTACTGGATCCATCATCTTTATATTTTTAATGCCAAATGTATGACTGTATGCTCAATGACTTTTTATGCTAAAAGGTGGTTCACCACTTTGGAAAAACCCATATTATTGACCGTTTCATACCATCATATAACTACTCATTGCTCTTCAGTTTGGAATGTAGTTTACACTTGGGATTAGGAAGTCTTCTTTTACAGACTCACACCAAGGTAAATAATAGGGTTTGTTTTCATTTGATTTAACATTTCAGCGGTGGGTGTTTACAAACTCAACTCGGCACAACTACTGAGATCTTTCCCGGGATGTCTCTGGAAGGACAGGGACTTGTTGTTTCTATGTATGAGTATGCTTTATAGGTGACAAACTGAACTGAGTGCTGTTCCTATTTCTGGGAGAGTTACTTGATATCAGCTGGTAGGCAGCAGAGTTTTTACACATGAAGCGCTAAACAGTGAGCAACTGTATGTGACGACTCAACAAGTTTAGGGTAAATAACTGTAAGGAAGAACTTCTGCTGAGTACAGTTTCGACTTATATACACTTTACATCGTTGAGGACAGTAATATCATACATATACTTTTTCTCTGTAGCAGGGGTAGATATTAAGGGGGGGCACAGCGCCCCTCCAAAACAATGGTAGGGGAAACACTGCTACTTGTACTACAACATTTGAATCATCAGTTCTTCCTAATTTTCCTCAATTGTTCATATTTGGTTTATTCAAATAATTATATTGTGGTCATTGTTAAAAAATGTCTGCTATTATCATTATTATGAGTATATTATTTGCATAATGCGCTTTCTGCCTTCCTGTCATTAGGAGTTAGACATGTAATGGCTATGTAATAGCCTAGATTAGAACCTTCATTATCCTAAACTGCTGGGACATTTCCCTACAGCGAATACCTTTATATTTTCTACTCTTCACTTACTTGTCAGCATAGGTCGGCATTGATGTACAGAGCCGACAGAAGACCTTGTTTATATTGGCATCATATCAAAGCCAACTCCATCGATCAAGCCAGTGTGGCTAAAACTTTCTCTCCCTCTTCTTCTCATACTCCCTGTCACTCTCCTTTAACTCCTCCGGTGACATTCTTTTATTTGAAGATTGTTTTTTGCCAGACGCTTGGCCAGTTACCGCTGGTATTAAAAACATTTTGGCGAATGGTTAGGTGGTGAAAGTCTGTCGTGAACAAGCGTGAACGGGAGCCTGCTCGCACTGCGCTCTACTCCACAGCAAACAGCTGTCTGCTTTTCACCCAACAACGACAACCGCCTCACGAAACGCTATGTTGTAGCATTAATAAACGAAACAATTTAATAAAATTGCTTGTCAAAATACCTATGCCACAGGACAAAACCATTTTTTTTAAAAAGCAATATTTTTAGTGGCCCGAGCGGGCAAGTGCAAAGTACGTTACACTTCTGGGTACATTTGGGTGCATTTGCCATATCTCTGGAACCCATTGGTCGATTTTGATGATTGACACTTTTGAACCGATAGAGCCAATAGAATCGAGGGAGAGTTCCTAAATCCATCTAAACATTTCCATTGAGGAGTGAGAGTGATGCGCACGCAGTTTGCCCAAACCCGAAAGCTCCGTTACACTCTAATGAAAAATAGGTTTATTGCCATAAATGTTATGATGGATTATCAGTAATCATTTCAAAGGGACACGGAGACATTGGATTAACCTTCAGCAGCGTTTATATGCTTTTAGATGCCCTTGAACACAACTTTTGATCAGAAAACAGCAAAGGTAAGACGTATTTGCCGTTTTGGCCCCGTAAAGTGAAGTTGTGTGTTGTCTTTGCTGGCTTTCGCTGCCGTGAGTTTTGGTCGCACAGTGATGATAGTTATACCATTGGAATCTGTGGAATCTCAGCTTTCATATGATATCTAGTTTGTGCAGATAGCATGAAGTATAAAATATCGCTACCGTGAGTTATGTGCTTAGTGCTAATTTAGAGGCTTGGCGTTACCCTTGTGTTTCGTTTAGCTAAAAATGGTTCATATCGTCAGTTAGTTGAGTTTCTTCCCGTTAAGTGGGTATGACACATTAATAGGTTGTTAAATGTTAAGAAGCCCCGCGACACAGTTTTGTGAATATAGTTGCGTTTGCCCCCGATTAATCCTTTGATTAACATTGCAAATCTTACCTCAGCCATTTGTTGCTTCCTCTGGGCTTTGGTTGCCTCGGTGTAGGCATTGTGGTCGGTCTCGATCAAAATGAGGTTGTTGGTCTCCGGGTGGATTACAAACTTCCTCGGAGTGTACTGCAGAGGAAAGGCCACCTGGTTGAAGACTGCTCCCAATTTCTCCAAAGCCAAGATTCTGCAAGACAGATGAGGAGAAGGGAGAGACTGTTACAGATCCTTTTTAACTTCAAGGGTACAGCCGAGCTACGAAGTTAGAACCATGCTTCTCCACTAAACTGTCCCACCCAACATTTATTTCACAGGGCAACAAATTATTCTGTTAACTGTCAAACCACATCATAACACTAGGTAGAGGAGTAGTACATTACATTTAATTTAGGCTGGAGCCACACGAGGACGATAAGGCAAACGGACCGAAATCTATATCAAAAAAGTATTCTGTCCACACGCAATAGGCACCAGAAACGTGTCCGTTCACACGAGACCGCTCGAAAGCGCTGGAGACGCTGTAGTACATATGCCAGGCCTGTAAGTGGCGCTGTACTCCTGCCACAAAAGCAGCGAAGAAGACTTCCCGCCATGGTTGCCCTTCTGTTTATTCTCCGCTGTGGACGCTCTGGCTCTTTTTTTCCCTCCCCGAGGCAAGCGTTTGCTCCTGCTGCTTTAATTCAATGCAATCCCTCCCCGTCGAGGCAAGCACTGTAATTCTCTCCGGTTAGTCCACCAGCAGATGAAAAACACCCACCTCTCCGCCTCTTCCAAGGGACGAGGGGACCGTGCGGCAGAGTTTCAGTTCCGGACAAAATTAGAAAAGTGCCGGTCAAAGGTCTTCTTTGTTATTTATTGAGCTTTAAAACAAATTGATAACGACTCTATATAATAATATAAGAATAAAAAACGGAGCCTCTCTTTTCCTCCCCCTCTTCTGACAGCCCAGCAGCTGATCTCTGATCAGGAGAGGTGGGAGAGGCAGGGCTATTGCTTCAACATTATCAGGAAATGATCGTATAGGTGTAAACACGGAGCCGTTTGCCCCCCCAGAGCATTTCGTTTGCAGATCTACCCACCTTGGGACCCGTTATCGTTATCGTTTTATGCGTTTCCATGTTGGCCTCGTGTGGCCGAACCGTCTATATGATAGAGAACTGTAGCGGATATGACCGTTAAGGCCTGGACACACCAATCTGACAACAAAGAACTGACACAGACGGACCCCCGACTGTTGCGTCGCCTCGCGTCTCCTGCGTGTTGGCCATGTGTCGCACTGGAACACACCGCAAAGACTTCAGCCGACGGCCAAGTTGCACGTACGAACTGCGCATGCGTGAGTGGCAATAACTCTCCTTACCAGCAGGCGGCGGTAGTGTGTATTAGTCATTCAAAAGAGGCAACAACCGGAAGACAGACTGCGTGATACACCGAGAGAAGAAGAACAGACTGCGTGATATAAACAAACAACAAATAGCGTGTGCATTCCATTTTCACTCTACAGCGAGAAGCTCATGGGGCTTTCCCGAACCTGTGTCGAGAGCTGGAGTTAAATGAAATCTCAGATTTGCCTTCTTAATAGTTTGTTTGGGTCCCTCACTTCCGTTTCATTTTTGATTGTTTGTCATGTGATTTATACTATTTGTGTTACTGTATGTTCAATAAAGGTGTATTTTTGCTAAATCTTGAGACATTGCCACTGTATGTACAAGGCAGGGCTGATTTTTGGCATAGGGGCGCCAGATCTGGGGGGCGCTGCGCTGGTAGCTCTGGGAGGGGAATAAACATTTTTGACCGTTGGCGCTCATCCTCATTTTTGGCCTTGATGTAACAACATTCATAATTAAGTAAATGTAACACCCTTTTCACCCCGGTTACATTTTTAATTTGCCCTACGATGGGCGCTGTAAGTGATGAAAGTGGGGGATGTTGGCTTATCAGGCGCCCGCAGCTCACAGCCAAAGTGTGAGCGTGGGAGAGCGAGAGAGGGCGCACCGGTACCGGCGCTGTTGTTATTAGAATCTGGTGCTAGCTGCGCTAACGGATATAAGAAGTAGATATTTTTCTACAACCAGGGTGGAGGAGAGCTCTCCTGTCAGACTGAGAGGCTCACACTCTCTGAGTGTTTAGATAGTTAATTTTAGTCCAAGTTATCTCAGTGGGTCTCAAACAAATATGTGTTTACAAATTATGTAAACACATATTTCCAAGGCACTCCTTTATAATTATTAGGATAAATAAAAACAGGTTTGAAATCATTACAATGTATACTTAGCACAGATCGCGTTCACACCGGAATAAATTCCCTGAGGGAAGATTACGCAAATGAGCCGCTGACGTCACTTCGTCTTCTTCTGCTTTGGGTTTACTGGCAGGCCGCAAACAACTTCACGGCGTATACTGCCACCCGGAGTCCCCGGCCGGAAGTCCCCGGAGTTGGGGACTGGCTTCAGTAGAAGCTGAAGTCCCAGCAGCGTCTACTGAAGCCTTCCCGAGTAAATCGCCAGAACGCCGACACCTCCTCATCTCCACCGCTCCCATGTTTTATTTTGTGTTGCCATAAGTTAGTCTCTCTGCGTTTGTGCGCTGGGAGAATGCTAATGCTAATAATGCTAATGCGAGGATAATGAAATGACGGCTCTACAAAACATTTCAGAGTTTTACGGGGCGTGGTTTGCAATTCGCCCAGCCAATCAGAACTGGGGCACTTTTTTTCCCCCAGGAAAGTACCATCTCTCAGCAGGCACTAAAAATGGGGGTAAAAGTTCCCGGGATTAAGTGCTCTTTTTGGTGTGAACGCGACATAAGGGGTACTAACGGAACTAAACGCGAAAAGTACGGTGAAAAGTACTCCGGTGTGAACGCGCCTTATGACTCCATCCTAGGGGAAACACTGATAATGCATATTTTTCTGCATGTCATTTCTCTTGAACTTACCAAACATCTAAGAGACCTTTTAAATAAGTATGACAAATAGGGCTGCCTATTCAAACAGGTCTACCTGCAGTGTATATCCATACCTCAGTGTGTTGGTGGAAATGGCGACGATGCCTTCAGGGCATTGCTCAGAGGCAAAGCCAGAAGCGTACTCCAGAGTCTCGTATGACAGCGGGGTCAGATGGAAGCGCGACTGGTACGAGTAGCTCAGCCAGGAGCGACTGGACATGGCCAGAACCTGTAAGCGAGAGGAGACGATTTCCAATGATTCACATGAATGGAAACAGATTTACCAATTCTTAAGGGGTTAAAATGCACACCGATTTATGTATTTTATTATGTTGGAGCTATATCATCATCTTTTGTGTGTGTGCGATGATTGTATGTTAGTATCACATACAGCTTCCTGCCCCTGCATCCTGACTCTGAAGAGCTTGACGGGTCGGGACCCCAGGTAGCGTGTTCTGGTGTCTGACAGGTCGCCAGTCACTGGATCCAAAACAGTCCTCAGCAGCACGCCGTTCTGAGAGAAGGGATCAAACAGACACAAAGATTACTAGATGACATGATCCAGATACCGGCTTATAAATTCAAACAGATGACATTAGAGCAGATCTCGGATTGTGGGTCATGTTTGAGCAGAGCTTCTGATTGATGTCATGGGTTGTTGTAGCTATTTTTAGAACAACTATAGACAGGGATGCAAACTCATCAGGTATGAAAAAGGTGACAAGGATTCGAGGCCCGAGCCCCCCGAAATATCGGCTTTCAAATGAGGAATAACAGAGGATTTTAGCAGTCAGAACAACTAAAGCAGCAGTGTTAATAACAGAAACGCCAAAGAGTCACATCTAATAGAAATGTATAAAAGCATTTATTTTAATTGTGTAGCAGTCAGTTTATAATTTTGGCAGGACTGTTGAGCATTTTGAAAATGTATTTTCATGCCTCTGTGCAAGGCTTAGTCTTTCTATCTTTATAGCCACTGGTGTAAAGTAACTAAGTTCATAAACTCAAGTACTATACTTGGGTACAATTTTGAGATACTTGTACTTTATTTAAGTATTTCAATGTTTTGCTACTTTGTTCTTCTTCTCCTCTACAGTTCAGAGGTAAATGGTGTACTTTTACTCTACTACATGTATTTAATACCTTTAGTTACTTTACAGATGTGGATGAATGATGTGAAATATAATCAAGTGTTAAATCAGACTTTAGTTCCACCTGGAGTAAATTCACAAGCTACCCTGCAGTATACAAAGTCATTCAAACTAGCTGCACCTTTACCAGCTTTGAGAACACTTTAATGATCAATCATTATAAAACATATCATATATATTATTCTGAAATGGACCAATCTGCACAATGACTACTTTCACTGTCGCTACTTTAACTATATTTTGATGATGATACTTTTCTACTTTTACTTGAGGAACAAGTAAAAGTTATTTTACTGTAACAGAGTATTCCTACACTCTGGTGCTTCTACTTTTAATCAAGTACAAGATCGGAGTACTTCTACTTTTACTCTAGTACAAGATCTGAGTGCTTCTACTTTTACTCAAGTACAATATCTATATTTATACCACCTCTGTTTATAGCCTATGAAAAAAACTATTAGAAAACGAAGGCTAAAGCTAACGTTAGCAGATAGTGACAATGTATGCTAGTTAGCTAGCTCAACGATTCATTAAATAATATTGCGACAGAAAAACTTTTCAGTGCACATCACGCTCTGCCGCTCCGACAGGGAGCTCTGCTCTGAACACCTGAACGGCCCGTTCTAACAGCTGTTCACCAGCGGTCCAGTCTGTGCCACGGTGACTCCGGACCGCACAGTTAATATTAACGAACGCACCGTAGGTAATGTAGCTGCTGAAGCTAGACCCTCATCCCGGAGCAGCAGAGCCTTATTATACATCCATGAGCAGAGCCGACAGGCAGGAAGACTCGAGCACACAGCTCGCGCTCCATTATAATATATAAAAAAAGAACACCATGCGTGTCATGATGGCACATAACAGCTCGCGGCCGCAGATTACTCCGGGTCCCAGACCCCCCCCATACCACAAAAATATTTTATTTGCAGAGCTACATGAATCACACAAACGACCTATTTTGGATTCAAAACGGCGAATTTCGCCGAAAGGTGACAAGTTTGCATCCCTGTATAGAGGATTGGGTTACATATCCCTATCCTATACATTAATAAAGAATGCAAAACTGTTTTTTCTCATGAATCTATCACTAAGTAAAAGATCAGTCGGAGCTCACATTAAGAGTGGATATGATGGGTCTTCTTATAGGGGTTTTGATAAAAAAAACTGAAGATTTGTAAATGAGAAAGCATACCTGGAGCCCTATGTTGAGGTAGAGGAAGCCGATGGTTCCCTTTTCTCCGAGTTCATCCTGTTTCTCCACTCCTCCCATCTCAACAATACACAGACTCTCAGGCTGGGCTGGCAGGGCCTGCATACTCAACGGCTGGAGGCAGTCCTGAATGATGAAGATTTAGAGGGTTAAGACCATTTCAACACACAAAACATTCTTGTTACAGTGCATAAACGTGAAGGTTTTTTTTCTTTTCTAGGTGGTATGGACATTAGCCGCGTTCACACCGGAGTACTTTTCGCGTTTAGTTCCGTTAGTACCCCTTATGTCGCGTTCACACCAAAAAGAGCACTTCATCTCGGGAACTTTTACCCCCAATTTTAGTGCCTGCTGAGAGATGGTACTTTCCTGGGGGAAAAAAGTGCCCCAGTTCTGATTGGGTGAATTGCAAACCACGCCCCGTTTTATTATCCTCGCATTAGCATTAGCATTCTCCCAGCACACAAACGCAGAGAGACTAACTTATGGTAACACAAAATAAAACATGGGAGCGGTGGAGATGAGGATGTGTGTATTTAGTGCCGGCACTAAATACGGCAAAGTACTTGGTGTGAACGCGCCTATTGGAAATTAAGCTTTCTGCAGTAACTTCTATTCAGCAACTGTGTGCACCCTTTTAATATTCAAGCTGCACCTTTTGAAAACAATTATGTGTCATCATTCAATAATTCTGTCACCAAAAACACTGAAACACTAAGTAACACTTTCACTAAAACATTCCCTAAGTAAGCAAAATTGTTCAGGTGCTTTGAGCTGGCATTAATTATGAAGTTCATCATTCTTTATTATTTCATGGAAACTAATCTTTCATTTTTAATTTACAACAAATTTGATACACTTTATCTTTTAGGATCCAAGATCCACCAATATTTTTGAATTATCCGAAATTGAGCCTACAGAGCATTACAACGTTATCTTTATAACATCCACTGCAAAGATGTTATTGCCCAATACATCTCCAATGTTTAAAATGTTATTGTCATGGTAGATGTAGCTTGGTATATCCCAGAATTGGGTATTATTTGAACAAGCTTGGATATTACTTGTTGTTACTGACCTGAGAAGAAAGTAAACAAACTAATTATGGCAGGTGGGGATTCATGTCAATAATCAAAGAAGTAATGTGGCTTAAAACCCAATAGCCGCATTCACACCGGAGTACTTTCACCGTACTTTTCGCGTTTTAGTTCCGTGAGTACCCCTTATGTCGCGTTCACACCAAAAATCGTACTTAATCTCGGGTACTTTTACCCCCATTTTTAGAGCCAGCTCAGAGAGCGTACTTTTCTGTGGGTGAAAAGTGCTCCAAAAGTGCCCCAGTGCTGATTGGCTGGGCGAATTGCAAACCACGCCCGTACAACTCTGAAAATGTTGTGTGGAGACGCCATTGTTTTTCCTCGCTACAAAAACACAACGCTCCATGCGTTGTGTTTGTTTTTGAAAGCAGTTATGGCAAGCATCAAGAAATGATGAGGTGTCGGCGCTTCTGGAGATCTACGCCGAGGATGCGACCCAGGGAATGCTATTGAAGCCAGTTCGGTAGCTTTCACTCGACCTGGGAATTGTGCACAGCCGGCTAAATATAAAGAAACTCAGGACTACAAACGGCGGATTCAGTGGCCAACGATGACTACCACGACGAAGGTAAAATCAACTACATGCACTGGGGTTTTAATCTGCACAATAATGGTCTCAGATGTACTTTTATTTGCTCAGTAGATCAAGCTAGCCATGCTAGCCATAATAGGCTAATATTTTATGTTTAACTTGCCTCAACAACATTAAACAAAGTTCAAGCATACATGAAGCACTCTTCAAAAAGCAACAATCCTCCGTGTTTGAACCTCTTGAATCGCTGCATAGCCGATTTATTTGGACTGGATTATCCCAGAGGCCAAACATTCTTTATAACAGTTTCAGATTTGTGAAACCTTAATTCTATTTGTGAAAATACAAAAAAGGGAGATTTCAGTGCTTTTTTTACATGTAGACCACATTAGACCAGGTCCTGATCTAAAACCACTATACCTAGACTCATCAAATCTGGACTGGATTATCCCAGAGAGTCTAAACATTCTTTATAACACAGTTTCAGATTTGTGAAACCTTAATTCTATTTGTGAAAATAGAAAAAACACATTCCTAGTATGTTGTAAAACTACATGGCGACTAAACAGATCTTGTATATTGCTTATTTTCCCCTCTTAGGAAAGCGGACACGGGATGCGAATTTCTTTGACACCGCCCAGGCGTTGGAGGACCGGCGTGCCGTGGTGAATGAGTCGCTGCGTGGAGATCAGATGGTGCTGTTCACCAAGGCCCAGGAAACGGAGGACAAGATGCTCACCTCGATGGAGCGCCAGGCAGAAGTGTTCAAGCAGCAGATGGAGCGCCAGCAGCACCAGGATGAAGTGTGGGCGCTGCGCCATGAGGAAGCGTCGGCGCAGCGGCAGGATGAGCGACAAACTGCATTTAATAACAGTTTATTTGGTATAGTTTTTGTAAATACTGACACACGACACACAACTTTGCACTAAGGTGTGCATGCTGCTGAGAATATCCCTACACCTGGGACAGTTTATTTTATATTGTTATTACTGTTATGACTTTATTTTATATATAATGTTTACTGACATGTACAACTGACACTTTATTTACATTTAAAAATTTTCTATTTAATGTTATGTCTTGAGAGTGCAATAAAGAAAACCGACATGGCGATTAAGCTTATTTCTCCTGACACTTTATCTTTTGTGACCTGTGTAGCATCCTATACATCACATGTGATTATTCTGATACCATCATGTTTCATCGGTTATAAACTGGCAAAGCTTTATTTGTCATTTATTTATCATCAATGTTGCAACCTTGTGGGGGAATGGCAGGGGCACATACACAAATATGACAATTTATATCATTTTAAATATTATTTGACCTAAACTTTTAATTCCCCCCCATTTCACACAACACAACATGGAGTCCACTATGGGCCAAAACTAACATGTATGTTTGCATAGTGTTTATGGCAGACGGATGCAGTGGGTCTCAGGAAGATATATAATAAAGGTGGGTTTGCTGCTGAGACTCCCTACAGCTGGGAGTTTATTTTATATTGTTATTACTGTTATTATATAGTACAACTGACACTTTATTTTATATTGACAATGTTTACTGACATGTACAACTGACACTTTAGTTACATTTAAAATATTTCTATTTAATGTTATGTCTTGAGAGTGCAATAAAGAAAACCGACATGGCGATTAAACAGATCCTGTATCAGCCATCCTACGGTGAAACATGGCAATCATGTGTGCTTTCCGTCGGCCAATCCTTTTCCTAAAGCTTTTGAACTGCCTTTGATGCTGAAGAAAGACTCCATCTCCATCATGTCTGAGGTCGGAAGGTAAACAACAGACAGTATACGCGGGAAGTTTTTCTTCTTCTTCTTCTCTTGTTTTGTAGCGGATTGCAAACAACTTTAAGGTGCTTACCGCCACCTACTGTACTTGTAATCTTCCCTCAGGGAAAAGTACTCCGGTGTGAACGCGATCTGTACTAAGTGCCCTGGGGTTAAAAGCGCCAGGGCTCTTAGTGCCGGAACTAAGTACAGGAAAGTACTTGGTGTGAACGCGGCTAATGTTGTCATGGTGGAGGATAAAAAGGATTTACTGCATACCAAAACGTAGCTAGCAAGGCACTTAAGACAGGGTTTAGGTTGTAATGCGTCTGGAGGATTATGTGCTGATTTACAAACTAGTGTTTCTTTTCTTACCGAAGGGTCCAGGGAGATGATTCGCACGGTGTTGTCTACCAGTCCCACAGCGAGGAACCGCGAGCGCTGCTCACCAGGAGGGACGTTAGCCAGGCTCATACACACCACATCTGCAGACATCTCCTTACGCTCTGTGTACTCATTCAGCTGGCCAGACTACAGAGAGGACACAAAATAAACTGTATTACACATTTTCAGTCTGGTTTCATTATGCTTTTCATATTGATTCAAATTAGGTAACACTCAAAAATGTAGAGTGTAAGTGTCAGAGACATTATCCAATATTGTTGTTAAAGTGTTTCATTCATGTCATTACAAGTCAATAGAATTCTACCAAATGGTGTCAAAAAGCCATTGTTGCACCATCTTCTTTCTTACCGGGTCCATCTCAAAGTAGACCAGCTCCCCTCCAGTGAGAGCGATGACGACCTGTCGCTGGTTCACAGCGCAGCGCACAATGGTTTTCTTGCCAGGAGTCTTCCACTCGTTCACACGCTTGTCTGCTCGGATGTGGCGGATACCGTCTGGGTACACCTGTATGGAGAAACAGGGAGGGAGGGAGAGAGAGAGAGGGAGGAAGAGGATGGAGAGAAAGGAAATGTTATTACTTTGTTTTTACTTTCTTCTGTTAAGATACAGCAAGGTAAGCATCTTTAAAAGGAATCAGGATACATTTGATTTTGTCATCTGTGAGGCAATCTTTAACACTTTGCATGAAGTTTAAATATGTTTTTGTGTATATTGTGCAAAGACCGTTTTTGTAATGTTGCCTCGTAAAACTTAAGTCTAGACAAATTCTTGATTTGAAACAAACCTGTACATATTTGCGATCTCGTAATGATTCAAGACTGCTTGAATGTGGCCAGTACCTTTTCACCGGTATGAATAATGATATTAAAAGGGACATTGCACCCACCTGCACCAACGCGTCTTCACCGAGCAGCGAGCAGGAGAGAGTGGGTGTTGTTCCTAGGAATCCAGAATCTGTCACTTCCTCTACAGTCTCTCCGATGGAAAGAACCAGAGTAGCGTTCACGAAAGACACGATGATGTAGGCATCAAACTCATCTAATGAAAACAGGAAAGAATTCTGGTCAGAAAATAAAATTACTGATTGAGTTGTGCCGAGACTAAACATGTTGAATAAATGTCCTAGGATGCTAGATGCTAAGGAAAGGTGATTCATGGCTTCTTTACTCATCATTGAAGTGATCAGGACTGCATATTCCTTTAAAAGCACAGTCAGTATGTTGATGGAAGCTAAGGTCAGACATAATGCACAACCTTTATGCAGTCTGGGCAAGAACAACACATGTGGGCCTGAGAATAATAATGGAGTGATGTAGCAATAGGGGCGTCTCTATTTTCCCATCGATTATCACTGCAGCAACGCGAGTTGTTAGGCACTTAAAACAGAACCCATGAAGGCATTCATCTTCTCGATTAATGATCAGTTAGCCAGGGGCTCACAAAATATTCTTATATGCAGGGGTGCACATAACTTTTTTAGTGAGTTACTCAGATGAGTACCAGGAGACAGCGTTTGGTGCAGTCTTCCTCACTGTCCTCTAGTTCCTCTTCTTGCATGGTAGGTGATGAAGATGCTGCAGATGCACCTCTCTGTCCCTGTTTAAGCCTCCAATTTGCTTTCTCCAAAACGTGTTGCCAAAACTGTGAAGTCCTTGCATTTCCTGAGGCCAAGTTGAAGGATCAAATACTAAGAAATGATCACATGACTTGAAATCATATCTGATTTCAGATGTGGGAAGTAACTAAGTTATTCAAGTACTGTACTTAGGTACAATTTTGAGATTCTTGTACTTTACTTGAGTATTTCTATTTTATGCTACTTTGTACTTCTACTCCACTACATTTATTTAATACCTTTAGTTACTTTACAGATTTGGATGAATGATGTGAAATGTAATCAACACTTAAATCAGACTTTAGTTCCACCTGGAGTAAATCCACAAGCTACCCTGCAGTATACAGAGTCATTCAAACTAGCTGCACCTTTACCAGCTTTGAGAACACTTTAATGATCAATAATTATAAAACATATCATATATATTATTCTGAAATGGACCAATCTGCACAATGACTACTTTTACTTTTGGTACTTTAACTATATTTTGATGATAATACTTTTCTACTTTTACTCGAGGAACATTTTGAATTCCTACACAAGAGCCGAGTACTTCTTCCACCTCTGTCTGATTTCAAACTCTTCCATTAACACCCTAAGTTTGCACCTGTGTGTTCGGTTTTGCTCCACCTTGTTGTAAATAAAACTGCATCAGCTTGACCACAGCGCGTGAACGTTGTGATCAGCTGATTTTGCGCGGTTCTCCAGTGTGTGCGCGGGGCACAGAGTGTGCACAGGGGAGTCTCCCTCCGCAGCCAGTTGACGTAGTTTTGGTACAATTCTGTTATTCATACATACCGACGTTAACAACAACCCCGTCTGTGCACACGGTGAACAACTCTGTCGTCCGGTGATCTAAGCCTCTGCTTCACAGGTCCGTCGGTTATGGCCTGCGCGGCTCGGCTCAATTTAATCAGTACAATAAAGTCCGGAGATTTTTTGCAGGGAGCAAAACGCCTACAGATGGAGCCTCTTATTTTGGACCCCAGCATACAGCTTCCTGCCGACTGCCAGCCAGTTGCCTGCCAAAGACCAGTATTCAGGAATGTTAGGCCCTCCCACTATTCTCCAATTTCAGGGTTTAACCAGGAGATGGCGCTATATATTAAATAACTAAGACTTAGTTTTTCACAATAGAAAATGCAGATATTATATAAAAAACTAAAGTTAAAATCTTGTTTTTAATGCCCCAAGAGCAATAACATCTTGTCACAAGCTTTTTGGAAGAAAAAGACTGACTCAAGAGACCTGTAGTTGACTAATTACAGGCCTCAATAAAGTTCTGCCATTGGTTGTGAAAAACAACGGTGGACATAGTGGAAAGTGAAATTGACATTGTCGAATTTAATAAAAATACAAAATAATGTATCTGTGTACGTGTTTTACTATGTGATCTGCACTTATCAAACATCTAATTAAGGCGAGACACCCCAGGTGAATAGGGTATTTTTAACTTAAAGATATCAGCTAAATATTTCTCCAGTTAATTACTTACAATAAGGCAATTGTTTTTTGTATTACAAGTTTTCTGAAATAGCATGTTTAAATATCCAAATGAACCATTACCTCATGAAATATGCGCATATTTTAACACATTTCAGGAACCGAAATCTGAACTTTGGATAAAGCCAGGATCAAAATTATTGTTTCATTTTGTAGTCATATTAGTATCTAAGGCTTTTACAGAAGGGATTTTGGATATCTCTTTGTATCACTCCATAAATCAGAAAATACTGTCAACAGCCCTAAAATATCAATTTTCACCATGTTTTTAGGTATAAAATGTTATATAATTCAGGCTATGAATTATATATGACCAAACCCTTCTGTAAAAGCCTTCATAATATTGATAGGAATATAACTGGAAGGTTTGGTGTATGTAACTGCTGAGTGATTCTACAATTTAGGGTACATTCCATGTCCATTGATGATAATTATAATTATTCTAACTATTTTCTTCAAAAATATCATATTTTGCCTATTATTGGAAAGCATGTTATAATATCACACAAACATTATGTGCATCCTATGCTTTATTTAGCTTGAAATGTGTCATGATGTTCTTAAATTGTCAGTTTTTGCTATGTCCGTTTTTCAGTTGAGGGTGTCTTGGATTCAAAATAATGAATAAAAACCATTAAAGTAAATTTAAAAAATGATTCATTTATTTCAAAAGTCTAAATACTAAAGAATAATAACATATTTTTAATTCATTTCCCCCTTTAAATAATTTAAATATCTTAATATATGAATGTCCGCAAAAGTTCTGTCAACTATGTTACTAACAGAACTTCCCCCTTTAACTCAAAAATTGTTTGTCCCAATACCATGTCACCAGCATCACATGATGCCATGTTCCTCTTTGGCAGACATTTTGAACACACTGTGGTGATTGTCCTCTACATTTTTACAATATTTTATGTATAATAGCACATGGTCAATTAATATACTCATTGACAATCAACAATGTTACGTACATTGTTATGGTTTACAATTGTTTAATGATTTTAATTCAATTATATGTGCAAATGTGATGTTAACCTGTTCAAGAAAATGACATGTGGTCATCCAGGCAAGGCCTACCATTGAAATGATGGGTCAAAATAGGGAAATTGTCAACTAGGTTACCTGTCAACTGAGTTACCCAGTACTGTAATAACTGTAGTAACTTAGTTGACAGGTAACCTAGTTGACAATTTGTACGACATGTAGACGTCATTACACATCATTATCAATGGAATTTTGCACTTCTGCCTTGAAATTAACATAGTGCTGATGGTTAATAATGTGTCCAGTCAACTATGTTATTTGCGTCAAATGTTTGACTTTCATTGTCAACTATGTTGCACCTCATTTTTTCAAATTTAAAATATCTAAAATAGTGCTTCTGATATCCTTTATAGTATAATGTATATCTACACAGGTTGGAGTTTTACATGACATCTCTTAAAACTATCAAAATGACCTGTATGGTAGTTTTATAATACAAAATATCCCTAAACTTAATGACAGTGCTGAACATATCACATGAAAAAACAAAACTTTAATACAATTATTTTTTAAACTTTAAAAAATCTTTGGATATATGGTAGAATAGACTCAAGAGCCTTTCAAATTTGATTTTACTTGAAGTGCAGGACTTAATCAAATGATTGTAATGACATCAAGTTTGTCCGTAACATAGTTGACAAACTGAGTAGTGAAAACATCCTTTCCCTTAAAATAAAAAAATATATAAAAATGTTTAAGCTTTGCAACTAGTGGATATGTTACACTGAGGAATATACTAACTTGAACCACTGATTGTTCTATCTATACATTTTATTTGGCATTAGTAAATAATTATGCACATTTACAGATATTTTACATGATATGAGTGATAACACGTGTTATAAGGGCTATTTCGCACAATAGGTGTGCCTTGAGATTTTTACTTGTCCTTTGGTGTGCCTTGGGCACAAAAAGTTTGGGAACCACTGCTGTAGAGAAATGTAAACGTTCACCATCCCCCACCCGCCTACTGTATGTTGCTTTTTGACATGTAAATGGTTAACTACCCCCCTCTGAGTGAATACCTGTTGTACCTGTCCGGGGCTAAGCCCATAGGACGATGCTCTGATGTCATCACCCTCGCACATTGGTCATATGTTTACAAAAAACGATGTTAACACTTTCTCGTTCTTAATATATGCTATATTTAGGGTCGATATGTGTTGAATTTACTTTAAAATAGCAGATCACTGTTGCCCCTTTCACACCGGCGCTTTTCCAGCTCCTGCTGGGAGCTAGAGCCTGAAAAGCGCCGGTTTTTCCTGTTCACACCGCAGCGGCGGCGCGTCATAGCTCCGGAATGCGGTTCACTTCCAGCTCCAAAAAGTTGTCGGTCCAGAGGCAAGAGCTTTGGAGCTATGACGCGGCGTCGCTTACGTCTCTTACGTCGAGGCGTGCAGGAAACCTTACTTTGACCATCCGTTCGCTGTTATTGATCATTGTGGAGAGCAGGCAGACGTTTGGTTTGTTATTATAGCAGCTATCGGATGGAATTAATACATGGGCTGTACAGGTTGTCATGTCCGACTATCACAAGTAGAATCATAATGAAAAATACGCCGGTAAAAAGTGCCTGGAGAAAACGGCTTAGCAAGTAGTCCGTTTAGCTTCGGTTGCTATGCTAACATCACCCATGTTATACCAGAGAAACTTTCATAACAGCGTTGTGATGCCAAACAGTGTCAATTCAGACTGACACACATTCACTTAAGGGGAACTGGGGATATGTATCAGCTGCTTGTGTGACAGTCAGACAGTGAATACTTTAGAGCCGTGTGAGCTAAGCCGGAGCTAACGGGAGAATACACTCGTGGAAGTGCAGCCAGCACTGCAGCGGTCGGTAAATGCTGAAACACATTAATAAACAATGAACCACGGCACTCTGGAGAAAAGTATAAGGTTGGAGAAGTCGTTATTTAATTTAATCTGGCTTCGTATGATTAAAAGCAACACGATCGTCGACCCGACGCAGTCCCCCCCCCCGTTGTTGTGGGAGAAAATCTCTCGGCAGCTCTGGGCAGTGTGAACAGAGCGGGAGCTGAAAAGGGAAACGGGAGCTGAACCAGAAAAGCTCTCGCTAGGAGCTAGAAAGGGAAAAGCGCTGGTGTGAAAGCCGCATGTGATTCACTTCTCCGCGGCTCCTCCGTGCAGAGAGGCCCCCCCCCCCCCGTTGACAATTCACGAGCGTCTAACTCTCTCCCCCCTGTGAAGAGATATCACAGGGGGGGGTTGGGACACACACATTCCGATGGCCAATTCGTTTTAAACAAAGAGTGGGGTGGGGACTGGTGAACGGTATGGTCAATGTTTGTAAACACTGTGACATTTTGACTTTATTTGATCATTTCAGTTAAAAACTAACGTTCATATTTCATATTACTGTTTTGCCTGGCTGGACCTGTAATTTACAGGAAAGGAGTGCACGCTACTAAAGAGACACGCTACCATGGAAACCAAACAATGGTGTTGCTGTATTGAAGTCCGAGTGGAAACAGTCATATTTGGAGCGTTATGTTAGAATGAAACAGCGAGGTCGTGACTCACAAAAAAAAAGTGTTACTTCACTAACTGTAAGCTTGTCACTCAGAGTAACCTACAGTTAACTTAACTGTTGGAAAAGAAAGATCAGAGTTAGGAGTGTGAACACACAGCTGAGAGCTGCCGTTTCATTCTGACTGTTTAAAAAACGGTAACAACGGACTATTTTTCTTAGCGGATGCATGTAAATTTAAATCAATACATAGAACTATGTTTTAAATCAATAAAAATATTTTCTAAATCCATAAAAGCATTTTAATTAATATTGGGAGTCATGTCGTTACTTTGTTGAGAATGTGGCCATGTAATAAGCGGGATAATTTGCAGCGACTTGGTCATTATGGGGGAAAATAACACCCAGGGATCAAGGGACCCAGGGATCCCTCCGCGTCGCGGAGGGATCAGTAATTTTTAGTGAATTACTGAGTTTAGGCACGTTAATAACATTTTAATGAAGTTGAATACAGTATATTCATATTTGTCAGTGATTTCATGTCAATTCGGCGAACATAAACGATTAAATTAGGATTAAAAATCGAGAGCCGGCTGCTGTTCGTTACGGTAACCCAACTAGGACACTTGACACAGTGGCTTTTGGCAAAGCACACAAAGAAAACAAAAAAAAACCGAGAGAGATGAATTATTGTTATTACAACGTGACTTCACTATTATTTAACAACTATTTTTATTGGGTTCTTTTATTTGGGGTTAAGTACATTGTCAGAATAAGTGAGAAATGGATTTAACTTCTGTTAGACAGCTATCATACTGAATAAATATTTATGCAAAAATGTATGGCATTAATAATGTATATCTAATTACATTTAAAAATGTATGGCATTAATAATGTATATCTAATTACATTAACTGTGAATGTCTTTCATTTTATTTAAAATGAAATAAAATTACATAAAACATTTTCCATAAAAAAGTTGATTCAAGAACAAATCAGTACTTTTCTTATATGACTATTATTGCTAAATTTGAAAGGTCTTTACCAGCTTTGGAATTATATATATATATATATATATATATATATATATATATATATATATATATATATATATATATATAGCACCTTCTGCCATCCCATCTCACCTGACATATGGATCTTAACAAAGATCCGCTATACATTAGTACCAGATATACTGTACACGGACATTTTAGTGAACCAGACCAGCTGTTTCCGCCGGGTCTTCGCTTCCCGGGCATCACGTTGTTTACAAGTGTGTTCAGATGCTAAATGACAAGTGCAAGTGACAATTGTTGTCGTCTTCTCTGTGAACGTTTTTTTTCTCCGTTATTTTGCCATTTTCAGATTTAAATTTCGAGCGGAAAGCTAACCAGGAAGTAATAATTACTTAAGCGGAGAACGGAGAAAGTAAACGTTACAGCAGGCATAACAACAGCCGGTGTTTATTTTATTATAATATTCAAGAACAAATCAGTACTTTTCTTATATGACTATTATTGCTAAATTTGAAAGGTCTTTACCAGCTTTGGAATTATATATATATAGCACCTTCTGCCATCCCATCTCTATATATAATATCTATCCGTGACATATGGATCTTAACAAAGATCCGCTATACATTAGTACCAGATATACTGTACACGGACATTTTAGTGAACCAGACCAGCTGTTTCCGCCGGGTCTTCGCTTCCCGGGCATCACGTTGTTTACAAGTGTGTTCAGATGCTAAATAAAAGTTTAGCTTGTACTTTTGATACCCCGCCTCTCGGCACCACAACATCCAGTTTACTGTATTTCACATGAGCGATGTCGAACATTGAAAAGTCCTTATAAAATCTCTGTTATTAGATCAGTACTTTTCTTATATGACTATTATTGACTTGAACACTGAGAATGTATTTATTAACTTCAGACATTTGAAATATTTGAAATCAGATGAAAACAAACTGTAACGGACCCTGCCGTGTTATCTATGATTACTATGCCTTACTGTACATTCATAATTTCAGCCGGAGGTAGGTGGTAGGCGTTGCGGAGGAGCAGATTGCGAGTGAGGTGCCTGTTCTAAACGAACTATTCCAGCTGTTATAAAGCATTAAATAAAAAGTAAGCAAGGAATACAGAATGTTTCGTTACGTAACTTTGTTGAGAATGTGGCCATGTACATGTAATACATGGGATCATTTGCAGCGACTTGGTCATTGTGGGGAAAAATAACACCCATCCTGATCGTTTCAATGAAGTTGAATACAGAATATTCATATTTGTCAGTGATTTCATGTCAATTCGGTGAACATAAACATCAATGATGATGATTAAATTAGGATTAAAAATCGGGAGAGCCGGCTCGTTCGTTTTTTCCGACTAAACAACATCTATTATTTAGAAGTTGATTTCACATGACTCCAGTGTGGAACCCCACTGCACCCCCTGGTGGATCAATGATCCATTGCAGCTGGCTTCACAATAATTAAATGTATTTATCATGGGGGCGGTATCAAGTCTGACTGGGGGCCGGCCGGCCATCACGGAACGTGCATGAACCGATCACGACCCTCGCACTTTAAACTGTCCAAAATAAGACGCTTCATCTGTAAGTGGCTGCCTAATGTATTTTGGTGTTTTTGACATGTCTAGTAGTTTACTCCATTGAGAGTTGACAAGAAACACGTGTAGACTAAATATGTGTTCTGTTTTGATGACCTATCAGGTACGCAAAGGCGCGCAGTGACAAAAGTGACGTTATGCATTTCAGATTTTTTCCGTGCATGCGTACCTGCATACCAGTTATGTGCACCCCTGCTTATATGAGCATCCCTAGTTTTAAAAATGTACTTTTTGTAAGTGTTTGTCAACTTTGAGTTTGTTTGTTCAGAACATGGTGGTCTACGTTGGTAACTTTCATTTGTTGTGACGTTTTATAGTTCAGAGATTATTTTTATAGATTTAAACATAAGGGAAAATTGCAGTCACATTTCTTGACTACAGCTGTATTTTACTACAGTGGCTGGATTTTCACTTACTTTGAACCTAAGGTTGACATAGCAGAAGCTGCTAGTGTCATACCACACTGCTGGCCACAGTATTGTAAGAGTGCCCTCTGCTGGTCAGACTATATGGTGACAATTTCTTAGTTGCAAAAAGGCAGAATTTAATTGTTTCAGAAGGGGGAAAAAAAGAGTCAAACGGGAAAAAAGTTTTACCTTCTACATGTTTGCGTACTGTCCACACAGCATTAGGGTTACCGGGCAGCTCAGACACAGCCATCTCTGATACCTGATAGAGACGGACAGAACGTGGAGAAAGAGGTAAAGGGGGTTTAGTGTTTATCAAATATCACATTATGAAAGTTGGTGCTAATTCCAAGGATGTTTCAAGGTCTGTCACATGCAACCAGTAAACAACCAGTGATTGATTGGTGCATTGTTTGTAATCAGCTTACAGCGGGGACAGCGCATTATGTAAAAACATATTTTTTTGTGCTGAAATCAGAGCAATCGAAAAACTCTTCAGTTTTATTCAGAGAAGAGACATGAACATACTCATCATTTTTTCAGACAGCTGTGTGTACGTGTGTCTATTATTTAATGTTACATGTTATTATGTAGTTGTGTGTTTTGGTGTGTACCTCCAGTCCATGTCTAAGGACCCTCAGAGTAGACCGTGGTCCTCGTCCACAGGCAACGTACAACTGTGGTGTATCTTCATTGGCCAAATCAGCAATCTGTCAAAAACAGGAGGGGAGTAGACAATGGGCCAGGAAACAAAGACACCAATCAAAAAAAGTCTTCAGGTAGAGTAATACGGCTCTCTGTATGGGCGCAAATGCACGCTAACACACTGACCTGACAGGTCATGATGGGGGATAAGTTCTCCTGTTCGTCCACCAGCACGAGGTTCTTGAGGGGGCGGGGCTGGAAGAAGAAGGTGTCTCCCTCCTCCAGGGGCATTGCAGAGGAGAACTCGGGCTCCTCGTCATCGTCACCCAAGTGAGCAATCTGGTAAAGGTAACTAAAGGGAAAAAAAGTTGCACATTATGAGAAAAATAGAAAAGAAATAAAGCAAAAAATGAAAAAGAGAAAAATGTTGAATGGTTGTAAGTTATAGTCTTTGAAAAGTAACAAGACATTATCATAAAAAAGGTAAGACAGTCTTAATTCTGACAATTTACTTACTGGTTGCCAAATTCTGAAGACACAAACAAGAAGCCAGTCTTCAGGACACACATGGCTGTTGCCACGGGGATTGTGTCAAAGTATTTCAGCCGGATTTCTGTGACCTGAGAAATAACACAAATCCCTTATAAACATACAGATTTAAGGTAAAACAATAAAAAAAAAGTATTCACTAAATCAATCCAGAGGTTTTAATTTATTTTGTGAAGATATGTGTGGTATTACAATTATGCTGCATCGGGTGAAAATGCATTGTACTACACGGTTTGTCTCACTCTAAAATTGACCAAAGAATTAGTCACATAAAGAAGTGGGTATGCATCCAATCTTAATCTTTCCTCACCATTTCCTCATCTGTTTCCAGCGTAACCTTGAAGATGTCTCCCTGCTCAGTTTGGGCCAGGAAGAAGAACATGGACTTGGTCTTGTGAGTTGCTGAGCAGACAAAAATCATGCCGCGCTCCGGGTCATCCAGGTCGTTCTGCAGGATGGAAGAGATTAGGAAAAGGAGAGAGGAAAGGAGAAGAGTCAAATAAATGTGCATGCAGAGAAAAAAAAAGAAGACCAAACACAGCTTCCAAAAAAAAGAGTAAAAAAGGAAATGATAGGGCTGTATTACAAAATCACTACTTAAATGATATCCTGAATTAGAAAAGAGAAGAGACCAAGAGAAGTTTCACATTTTGTTGCCATGCTGTAGGAAGTTGTAGTGAAATATACTCAACAAAACCAGCAATGGATAGTTTACTGTGTAACATGTATAGAGTTCTTTTGTTTCTATTAAGACTCACCCTGCGTCGCGGGATGGGACAGCGGATGTCAGGCTGGTCTCCAAAGTTCTTGTAGGTGATGTAGTTTTCGGAGCAGATCAGAACTCCACTGGGACCATCCGAACCACCAGGAACTAAAGAGAGAGGAGTGTTTAGTGGCCTAGGCTATTTTTTTTAAATCATGAGGACTGCAGTGAAAACAGCTGGAATCCTTAAGCCGTATGTGCTCCATTTTCGAATCCAAGGTTTCCTATTCCTACTTTAACTTGCGAATGTGAATGTGGGGGTGCTGAGATCAGAGGTGTTTAATCTTTCTCCATGGTAAGTCAGAGAAGAGACATGACAAACTCATCATATCAACAACAGTTTTATATGGGTTTAAATGATGGTTTATCCAACAGGCCAGCCAGAACTGTAAATAGATTCTTCTAGAAACAAACGTTGCATTTTCTAAATAGACCAATCTTATCCCTAGAGTGCAAACCACATGGTCCAAAATGCTCACCAGTGATGAGAAAGTTTCCATGCTCTTCCAAAGCCTCACTGTACTTTCGCACCACGTGATTCAACCCGAGGTCCAGCTCGTAAAAGGTGAGCGTCTGTTGCGTGTTGGCGGCAGCTTCTCCTGTCGGGTCACTGTCAGCCTCCTGGAAAAAAGAAAATAACACGCAGGATCAGGAGGAGTTGTGAAAAAAAGTGTAAAAATGAGGCCATTGTTCGGCTCAGTATACAAACTATGCGAGTGGTAGTTGATTTGAATCAAACAAGAAGGTAAAAAGAAAATCTTACAGCATGAGTTTAGTCAGCAATATTTGTTAAAAGTAGGCATTGACATTGAACTTGTGTGCTGAGATCAGAGAGGTTCAATCTTTCTCCAGAGATAGTCAGAGAAGAGACATGAGAATCTCATCATGTCTGCAACACAGGCCAGTGGGCGTTATCTTACAAAGGCTTAACCTTGACTTTTCACGACCTTACCTCATAGTCCATCTCCAGGCAGGCAAACATGGGGTTTTCAAAGCCGACGTCGACTCCCACTACGTGATACACCAGTGTGTTGGCTTTGTGGGCTTCCAGTGGAGAGGAAATGGTGAGCCTCGCAGCTGCATCTCTGTTCAGAATATAAACCAGCTTCTGTTTCTCTGTCGCTCCTAAACAGGGGAGAGAAATATTGCATGGTAAAGTCTTAATTCTACTTAAATCAAGGTTCAGGTATGCAAACTCATCAGGTATTAAAAAGGTGACAATAGGCACGTTCACACCGGAGTACTTTTCCCTGTACTTTTCCCGTTTAGTTCCGTTAGTACCCTTTATGTCGCGTTCACACCAAAAAGAGTACTTGGTGCCGGGAACTTTTACACCCATTTTTAGTGCCTGCTAGAGGTGGTACCAAAAAAGTACCAATTTCTATTGGCTGGGCGAATTGCAAACCACGCCCCGTAAAACTCTGAAAAGTTTTTTGAAGCCGCCATTGTATTTGCTGGCATTAGCATTATTAGCATTAGCCCCGCGCACCAACGGAGAGAGAATAACTTATGGCAACACAAAAAAAAACATGGGAGCGGTGGAGTGATGAGGAGGTGTCGGCGTTCTGGCGATTTACTCGGAAGGCTTCAATAGAAGCTGCTGGGAGTCCCAGCAGCTTCTGAGAAAAACTGTATACAGTTGGGCTGAAAAGCAAATGTTTCTCAAACTGGAACAAGAAAGCAGCGGAGAAGTAACGGGGCAGAAACCCTCCTTTTTACGCAGCGGTCCAGACATAGACAACAAACGGCAAAACATATTCAGTGTGCAGTTCCTTTGGCATTATGGCAGGGATATTTAGATACTTTCCAAGGTTTGACATAATGAATTGTGCTACTTTTAAAGCAAGCAACGATGTTTTCAAATCTGTAATCAAAAAGGTCCGCAAAAACGCTATCGACCAATCAGATTGCTTGATTTGACTTGTCTGTTTTATAAATATATTTACATTTCTTCCGTTACGAAACAAACTTACAAAGCATAAGATGGAAACATTTAAGATTAACTTCGACCTCCGGGGTGGTCTTACTATGGAGGAGTGGCTTGAGGAGGAGTGCCTATCTCCAGAACAAAAAGCACCTAAACGACGACATGCAGAGCTACGTGAAGAGCAGGTAGACCAACTGGAAAAGTATCACCATTCAAAAGCTTTCTGAGGCGGGTCTTGAAACAAAGCAGAGAAATTATGACCGTTAGTGGCCACAGGTGCGAAAGCTCTCTCCAGAGCTACTGGAAGCCGAATCTCGGGGACCGGAGAAAGTGGAGCAATATTCTCGCCACGCCAAGCAACAGCCTAGAACAACCTCAGCCTATACAAGTAACCACGTAAGCCATGCTACTGATGCTGGACAGTTTTTCAGTGGGTGCACAATAAATGGCAACAAACACATTAATGTAAATAAATAGCCAAATAATGGATCAACGCTCTCTGTCTAATATGTTCGCTAGCTGTTAGTGTTGTTGCATAGCAACCACCTCGCACTATGTTTTGTGCAGAAGGCAACGGAGGGACTATTTTATTTTGAACATCATTATTTACTAATAAAAACTATTTAAATTAGAGTGTGTATTTTTCTTTCCTATTGCCACACCTGGTAACCGTTTTATAAAAGCAATAGCAATAGCTCGCTTCGCGTCGGGCCGAACCACGCCCCTTAGCTTTGATATAATGAGCATATACCACGGCCTGTTGTGAGCTATTGCTTAAATATATTTTATTTTTTTTAAATTATAAAAAATAAAAAAAATAATCTTTTTTTTTTTTAACACCTTGAATTTCAGCGGGGGCGCGGGGCTCCGTTGGCGGGCCGCAGCGCCCCTCCAAGACAATGGTAGGGGAAACACTGTGCCGGCACTAAGTACGGCAAAGTACTTGGTGTGAAAGCGGCTATTGATCTAGCTGCACCTTTACCAGCTTTGATAACACATTAATGCATCAATAATTATAATCAAAATATATATTATTCTGAAATGGACCAATCCGCATCATGTGTACTTTTGGTACTTTAAGTAGATTTTGATACTAATACTTTGGTACTTTTACATGAGTAACTTTTTGATTTCAGGACTTTTACTTGTAACAGAGTTTTTCCTACACTCTGGTACTTCTCCCAACTCTGTTTATAGCCTTAACATAGAATTTAAACATATCAATATTGACATGTGATGGCATGTAACATTATGCCAATGAAAAAATCAATTAGAAAACGAAGGCTAAAGCTAACGTTAGAAGTCAATGACAATGTATGCTAGATAGCTAAACGAAGTCACTTTGAAACATTCACTGCACATCACGCTTTGCAGCTCCGAGTGAGTATCCGAGCGACCTGCTCTAACAGTTTCAACTTTTTTTAAATGCAGTTCTACACAATAGACCTGTATTTAATACTTTTTTTATTATTACTAAATGCCTTTATGCACTGAAAAAAAGAGCCTGTTGAACAGCACTACATATTTTTTGTTTCTAGTGTACGTATGCAAAAGGTGTTGGTCAAAAGATTACAGTTTCGGGGTCTTTTTCTTTAACGGTCCCATGTCATGCTTTTCTGGTTATTACCCGTCCCCTTGTGTGTTATGAAGCTTTTTCTGCATGTAAACAGTCTGCAGAGTCACAAACCCTCAAAGTACACCCTGTAGCGAATAAAACTCTAACACAGAAAAGACCTGCCTATGCTGCCCCAGAACGCCTCGTTGGAGATTTCTCTTTTTCCATTGTTTACTTCTTGGGTATAGTGACGTATTTCGGGTATAGTGACGTTACGTCCGCGGAGCCGTTACGTTTGGACCAATCTGCGGACTTCCTCCACTAGGAGCTCCAACAAGCCGTTTAGGACAGAGAGTGAATACACATACTATACAGAGATGCTGTATGAGAAAACCAATGTGAGTTTGGAAAATTGCACAATGTAAATGTATTTTAGTATACCTCAACAATGGAATTATGATCAGTAGAAATGGCCATGACATGGGACCTTTAAAATATTGAGTTCTTCATACCTATCATCACAGCTCTGCCTTTTGGGTCCACGGCCAGGAACTGTCCAGGGACGATGCGTCTGCAGCCACTCTTTCCAAACGTTTCCTGGTGGATCTTCTCAAACATGTTTTTTGATGGATGATATTCCAGGATGACAATACGTCCACTGTCACTGCCAATAACAATGTAGTCTGTAAGCATACAAGAACATACATAAACAAAACAATTAAAAAAATAGTAAATGCAGTTAAAGAACTTTGCTTCCACTAAGCCTTTATCAATGTATATATAATTTGTAAGGTCATAAATGTAAACTTTGGATCTCTGGAAAGAGAGAGAAACGTTTCCCCTTCAGTGAGTGAATGTGAAACCAGTAGCTAACTAGGCATATATGCAATTCTATTTCATTAAAAAGTATTCCTCTCACGCAGCGTCCACACGGCGGCGTGCGTTGAAGCTTGCCGGCGGGCGTGTCTGAAGCTCGACCAACAACCAATCACATGAATCTCCCGCACCGGACACACAAGCACGCGGTTTGATTGGCTAGAGCTTGGTACTGGCATATGATTTGATTGGCTGACGCTTCCATTGAAGCTCCAAAAGTTGAACATTGCTCAACTTTTGAAGCGAGCAACGCAAAGCTCCCACAATGCAGTTCGGCAAAGTGTGGCGTCACCCCATTCAAAGTGAATGGGCAGAAGCTTTGAAGCTTCAACGCACGCCGCCGTGTGGACGGGCCGTCAGGATGTCCTTACTATAGAGTCCATGTTTTGCTACGTACCTTTGGTTCCTCCGGTGAGTCTGAAGGCCATCAGGGATCTGACGATACCAAACACCTCCACTGTGAGCAGAGTGTGAACCTTTCCCGTGTTGGCATCTGGCCGCAATAATTCTATGATCTTTCCCCTGGAAACAACGATCTCCTGCATCTTGGTTCCTACCAAGATAAACAAAGTATTTGCAGCATTCAGCATGCGTCCGTCATGTATACATATAGTAATTGGAGGCTAGATATGGCAAAGCAAGTCTAGTATTTTGTGTTTTTTAAGTTTGCATTACAGTATTGGGGTGCTATTTACTGTAACATTCAGAACACACACACAAAAGCACAAATGTGTGAATTTGGAAAAAGCAAATCCAAAAGAAATGACAGGCATAGAGGATACGTGCAGAATGACGGACAGGCAACCTACCCAAATGGATAGGAGAATGAACTAGGACGCTTATTTAAAAACGAAAACACAGACTGATGCAAAGACAGGTCTATTTTACACATATTATATTCATTTATCAGACAACTCTGTCCCCCATGGACTCAGGCATCTGGATCATTTTAAGGTCAAGTGTTTTGCTCTAGAACGATTGATCAAAGGAGAAGCCATGTATTGTACATCTAGTCCATACATTTTAAGTGTTGGGAAATGCAGAAACCCAAAAACGAAAAGAAGGCAGGTGGGGAACTGACCTGAAAAGTTCCCATGGATGGCATGAGTGATGCCAGTGGCACGCTGCAGGGTGATGTTGTACAGAAACATGGCTCCCTTTCTGTGGTTTTCCCACCAGGATCTTCAGGGGCTGCAAAAAGAGCACTAAGCCCAGCTCAAAACTGTAGAGAAAGAAGGAAGTTTGAGTCCAAACGGTAATATCTTCGTTAATATTATAACAGTTTAATTGAAGTGGAGTGTTTTAAATGATACTTTACAATGTGTTGACTTTAAAAGTGACATGTAAACTTAACTTAGCTGCACATTTGAGGAAGTAGAACGGTATTAAAAATACTTAGGTTCTCAAAACAAAATTATTGTTATAGCATAGCCATTAACAGTTAACAGTGAGTTAAAAATGTGCTGAACACAAACTTAAGTTGTGCTTTCAGTTTAATACATGCATATAACCGACAAGCAATGCTAACGTTAGCTTAGCAGAGTGGCTACGAACTTTACGCTAACCGAGACCTCGTAATCAATGTTTACGGTTGTTTTCAAATTAGCTCCTTCGTTGCAAAGCCAATGAAGCACCATTTTACCCATCTTTACCCTCGACACTTAAAGTTAGCGAAAACTGTGTACGCAGTTAGCCCATATAGCTCACTTATTGACCTGCATTCAACGGACTGAGAGCCCATTCATAGAAAGCGCCACTTTTTCCCGACGCTATCGTTTTTTTTAGGGCTATATTACTTAAGATCGTGCATACTTCACACACATACAACCCCCATCTGAATAAGAAAAGGCTGTAGAATTGTACAATAAAATATTTACCGGCGTGTTATCTATGATGTTTCAGATTTCAGATGGATAAAGTATAATTTGTACTAACAATTTCCATTAAACTCAACGATGAGCCGCCGTTTGTGGGTCCTTCGTCAGTCAATAGTACGTCGTCATGAGAAGTGGCCTACACAGTGCCTGGTAGAAATTTAAAATATGCTGTAATAACACCACATTTCCAACAGGTGGCGACACAGACCTGAAGAAAGTATCTTTATACAGAGGATATTTCATGAGCAGAACAAGGCTTTTCTTACATGTCTTAATTTGTTTACAATTCAATATTTGGTATTATTTTACCCTTCATACCCTACTGACCAACTAATTTGATAATACATGGAAGAGCTGTTATTGCACTATACGCCATCTATGCAAATGCATGTCATGCAGCCAAAATCATTTTAAAATTCAAAAGAAAACTAGTTTATTTAAAATATTATTATTAGTAGTTGTTTCAGTAAATGTGTCAAACGTGATCAAACTGTGCACACAACTAAAGCAAATTCATCAAATGGTTCAGCCCACATAAATCACTGAGTGCAAACATGAATATCTTCATTAAAATGTTGTGTTAAGACGATACAGATCATTCACTTTGGTCTGATAGTGTATCCCGTGTTCTCAACATTCAAAGACTTATAAGAAAAACTGCATTCAATGGGTTAAGCAGCTTTTTTCTCCCTGTCTTGATAATCGGTAATCTTCAGGATGGTTTGGTACTTATGATTGTCCAAAAGCACAGCTGACGCTGATGTCTGGGAATGAACACAGTCACTGTGCATACTTACAAACACACACACACACACACACACACACACACACACACACACACACACACACACACACACACACACACACACACACACACACATGCACGCGCACACACAAACACGCAGGCACGCACACACACCATTATAGTGGTAAGGTGGACTGTTGAAACGCTTCTTTGACTTTTCACTGCTATCATGGCCTTAGTAATATTTGGATTGGATGTAGCCTACTCTAAGAAGACTACCAGTCTTTTTGACAATACTTAATATCGGCCCTGATGGATCCTCAGTTTCATGGTCCATTTAATGTGCTCAAGGAACCACAAAATGAAAACTGAGCAAAATTCTGTTCTCAACCTACTGAGCAATTGTGTAATCTTACTGGAAACCTTTGCAGTAGTGCAATGTGGAATTTGATGAAATGTATTTTTCAGGATCAAATTTGTGTTCCATAACTAATATTGAGATTAGAGGAAAGTAAGCCTAACTCTTAAGTTTCATATGGAGAAAGAATAATGTCTACCTCACCCTCAGTCTCTGGTAAGGTGGTGATTTGTTCCAATTTGTTGAGAAAAGCCTAACCATTATTACTTTTGTTCAGTTGTGAGTAAAGGTGTTACTTTTCTTGGCTATTGCAATAATGTACATTATGTGTAAATACTGCAAGCTTTAAAAGGATTTGCATTCATCAAGAATGCAGAGAGGGGCATCATCATTACCACAACATGGCCCTGAGAGATGAGTGAATTCTGTGCTGAAAATACCAAGGGGATGAAGTGAGTTAAAGTGGGTTCCATTTCTTCATGATCGCTGCTGATCAGGGAGCCCCAATCTAGTGCAATCAACCATTATTGCACCTGGCTAGAGCATAGAAAAACAATGATTATATAATTGAATCATTTAAAATAATTATAACAATGTTAAAAGGTGGACCTTTTTGGTGCAACCATGGAGTCAGAGTTCGTGTTGTATCTACTGGCTTTGCTCTTCTGAATATCTTTTTTGAGGAATTTATTCAAATGATACAATAAAGATGGGGAGTTCACTTTAGGAGGTTATATCTGTTAAATTGAAAGTGGCAAAGTTGCCACAAACAACTAATGGGTATAGGCCTTGGATACATGTCAACAACAGAAATCACTTCAATGTCTCTCTATTTATTGTGTTTACATTTTTGCCATTTTAGAATTGGTATGTATACTCTTATTTTTAAACATTTATTTATATTATTCACGATTGGATTCAATACAGGCAAACATATGAGATTAGATTGACTCTTTAATATACAAAACTATTTTTCCTTGAACCCAATTCAAAATGTTTATACTGAAGCTCAGATTTTTGAAGTTATAATTAATATTTTAAACATAAACTGTTAAATTAAGTGGCCCAGTTGTTTTACAGAGATGTGGAGCTTCTGATACCATCCATACTAGCTATCTGGATGGGAAGCAGGCGTTAATAAAGACCCATAAAGAACCATCTTTTCATAAATGCATTGTTTGGCTAGGCAAATATAAAATCAGCTTTTAATATGTAATAAAAAAAAATGTAAGATGGGACAGATCGTTATTTATATTAAAGTGTTTTTTTAAATGTTTTTTTTAATTGAATTGATATTGTTTATACAGCAATATTTGATAAAATACACACATTAAGATACATAGGCCTATACAAAATGAACAAAACAAAAATACTGCATGGTTTTACATTTCCTATAATGTGATGATTTCATGGTTGAAAATCACACATCATTTTAATTGTGAAAAGATATAACAGGAAGTTGTATATTTATGCTAGTTATAGCAATGCATAACAGCGTTGGCCACAGGGGTTTACGAGGACCGTCCCTCCCAGGAAGACGCAACCCGACGCCGCCTCCTCCTCCCGCCTGCTCGCTGAGGAGGGCCGTCCCGGAGAACAGCCCTCGGTGCTCCTTTCGTATTGGACACTGCCCCACAGCTCATTACTATTCAGCGAGCAGGTTAGCAGGTTTAGCCTCTTCAGCATCTGGTACCCGCTCTCTTTGAATAGCTACGTTGAAACCGCTAGCCTCTATTTTTTTGTTATCCGAGTTCCATTTTAATCCCGTTGCTTGTTTGCTTTGTATCCAGAGGCAGTTTGTGAAAAAGACACGTTTAGGTTCAGACAACGTGACTGCATGCCATGAACGACGAGAGTCGCTAACGGTGGATGCCTGAAAGCAGCAGCAGCGAGCGAGGCTGAAAAGGACCGGTGGTTGAAACCAACGAAGATTTGGTGAGCCTATGAAACCATATTTTTTATGCATCCAAATGATCTCTTTGCATGGTGTTTTGGGGAGCAGACACAGCTTAGTTAAACAGATCTTTGTGGCACTGATAAAGAGGCAGGCATCATTCTCCCAGTGTCTGAGGCCATCGGCTCTTTACACCCCCCTCTGCCCGGCCGGAGATGCTTTGTATCCGTTGACCTGCCTTAAGATCCTAAACATCATTTTTCGTCCTACACCATGGTCATCAGTTTTGCAACACATGGACACTTTCACAACTGTGGATACTTGTCTTACCCAAGCCTTACTTAAGTCCCTAATTTAATCGTTTCAGGGTTTTATTTGTATTGTATTATAAGTAGGCTACCAATGCCTGACTTTGAAGTCAGATCCTGGAGTTCACAGGGCGAGAAAGCCCTCCATATTTTATAACCAAAACTCTTCGCAAAGTATTTTCCTTAAAACGTAGTCCGTGTACGGAAAACATGCACTTTCCCTCGAAATCTACTTTAATGTGTTTACATTTTGGTCCCAAATGACTGACACATGATTAAATGCAGTGACTTGGTTAGATCCTGACATTTAAAGCATCCCTCCCTACTTTCTTTCATGCTGTCTTTCCTCCTATTTTATCTCCCTTATCTTCCTCCAGTCATCTTTCCTCCCCTCTCTGTACTCTGCAGGTTTTTACCTCTCTTCCCTCCATACCTCTTAACTTCACTCCACCACGGTTCTCCTTTTCTTTGTACTCTTGACAGACACCCATTTGCCCTTCTCCCCACTTCTTCCTCACCTTTTTTCCTCTCACCCCCTTCATTCATCTCTATGTCACTCCCTTTTCCCCCCTTCATTGATTTGCCTGCCGGCGTTGCTTAGAGACAACAGCAGTCTGAGTGCCGTGAAGTATAGAGTAGATGGAGGGGCAGCTACGCCTGGTAAAAGAGGTGAAGATTGTAAGAGGAGAGTCTCTTCACTTCTTCAGTTGCTCCCTAACATTTTAATGTGCGTACAATTCCTAATAGATTCAGTTAAGGCCGTTTAATAAACATTCATCTTCCCATCTGATCCTAGCTGGACAAGGAAACCGTATGAACTATAGGTGGAGAGGTAGGTAATGCTAAAACATGCTTTTTGCAAATTACAAGTAGATGTCTCTATAGCTCACAAAAAAAGTTGTTGCACACTGAGCCTCTCCCTGAAGGTCAAACAATTCTGGTTGGTTTTCGCATGGACCAACATGGAAATAAACAAAACAGAAAACAGCGGCAACACAGATGAACAACACAGTCTGTTTTCGTTAATTGTAACATGGCAACTGAATAATAATAATAATATGTCTATTTTTTATGATTATTAATTGTATTTTAAAGTAGGAAAATATTGCAATCTATCTATCACAATCTACCAGAGACGTCTTAAATTCCCTAAAATGATTAAGCCAATATTGAAGTTGTGCATTACATTTTCTGATGATTGGCTAGCCAATAGAGTGCCACAGTGACGCGTCCTAAAACCCGGAAGTAAGCTTCTTCCGGTTCCCTCAACAAAAAAGCAATGCAATTTCTCCATAGGATTTTGGAAAATAGCTCGAAATAAGGTCTGTGGTTGACACACATTTAAGAACGTTTTGTTCAGCCGGATAATCTCCACATGTCTACCCTACTTTTATAATTTTCTAATCATAAATCGAATCGATAGATTTATGATCCAATGGAGAAATTGCATTTCGAGGGAACTGGAAGAAGCTTACTTCCGGGTTTTAGGACGCGTCACTGTGTCACTCTATTCATCAACTAGTAATTTTAACCCTATGAGTGCATGTCCTTTTCAGATAAGATAATGTAGCGAAGGCCAAGCGAAACTAGAGGCAGCGAATCTCATGCACTATGACACAGTAACACACACATACACAAACCTTGTATATGAGATTCCCTGTACCTTTTTATAACAGTACAACCACAAGGACTATTTCATTATTTATAAGGATGTGACACAGGACTCCACTTTATGTCCTTCTCTGTAACCACAAAAAGTCATGTGCATAACCAGTTACAATAGACCACAATAGAGATAC